CCTCGTCACTACAGCAGCAAGCAACTGCAGTCAAGAAGCTTATAGAAAAAGGCCAAATAAGTCCTTCAAGTCCATTTAATCAGGCATTTGATCAAATCACAAAGGCTTGCGAATCTACAATGATCCAAGTGGCGATAATGAAGAAGCAATACCAGGATTTATTCGCTGCGCATGAGAAGGAGAAGCAAAAGCGTCAAAGATCCAAGAAGAAGATACACCATGAAGGAGGAATTACTAGAGAAGAAGCGCAGGATCTCATGAGGTCAAGAGATCAAGTTGTCGAACCTCCAGCCAATGATCCTCCGCAGTCTCAATTACCGGCCTCTCAACCACGCCAACGTGCGCCACAGAAGTGCAGTAACTGTGGTATTGTGGGCCATACTAGAGTTAGATGTCCTGAACGTACTACAACTTAATTTTTGTATATAATTGCCATGTTGGGTAGAGAATTCAGCTTCAATTTCTATATAGGAGACGCGTTCGGAGGTGGTGTCCGGCTCGGTGGTGTGTCCGGCTCGGGGGTGGATTACGTTAGATAGATAATCGATCTTTTCAACCTGTTGTTAGCAGATCAGGACTTCTGAATTCAATTCAGGACTCGGGGGGGAAAAATGACAGAAATGACAAAAAGACAACAAAAAAAAAACAATGGCAATTTATGAGAAACAACCAAACCCGTGAGAATTAGCTAGTTACATATATGTATCAACAAGCAACGTGACCTGATCCTGTCATGTCGTTTTTTTATTATCTCAGTTATATATATGACACCATTTGCTTCATTGGCACGAGCGTTACGTGTCGTTTGGAATCTCGCCATGCATTTCTTCAAATATATATATAACGCATATATATAAGCTATCGGCCTTGAGGCTCATACCAAAAGAAAAAAAAACCATCCCCTTCATCTATCTGTAGCAAACACTGTTAAAAAGGATGGTAGATTGGATGGATGGATGCCTTTTAAGCAAATATCCCTGAATAATGCTCTGCTGTGCTATGCCCATGATATATATTTATATTTATATACACCTAAGCAGGTGCAAGAAAAAAAAACAATGCTAATAGCCACGCTTGCTCTTGCTCAAATATACAAACGAATATCAAGAAAAACTCCATCGCCTGAGGCGCTTACCACCTCCATATCAACCACAAATAGTAAGGCAGCACAACGACAGCGACATGTTTCACCGAACGCACAAATTCCTCCCACGCGGACGCTGGGCCAGACCGGTGGCGACTGGGCTTCCACTTCTCGCCGTCGGCGCGCTTCCAGTCGTGATACCGCTGCGTACTGCTGTGGACGTCGTCGTCCTGGCTATAGTACCTTGCCGAGTGGAGGTCCTCTGCGTTCTTCGCCTCTCGAATCAAGCCCCGGCTCGACAGCCGTGGTTCCAGCTCGGCTGAACACGACGTCGAGCTGGAAACGCTGGTCGACGGCGAGCCTGAACCAGCCGACGGGGAATGGAAGACACGGCGTTCGGTATAAGGCAGAGTGGCCTCGACTGCAGAAGGCTTGTTGCCATCTAGCAGAAAAGTAACAACCACCGACCTGATCAGAAGCACAACCAAGGTCAACACGAAGAGACTTCCGTATCGAATAAAGACAGACAGCTGGTCCGGAAGCAGACAGAGGTGATTCTGCAAGGTCGGTGACGACGAGCCCCCGTCGAGCGGCCGTCCCGTGTCCGGATCGATCGGATTCCACAGGGTCGTCATGAGGAACCCTGGCCGCCGGACTCCCATCGCCCATGACAGGCTTTTCACGGTGATCTCTTTCGGAGAGCCGCTGAACTCCCGATGGGCGATCTCGCAGTAGTCGTGATCATCCCCCGAGTAGATATGGGCGATTTCGGGGCCGACCTTCGAGATCAGCTCGTTCGAAATGGCTGGGGTCAGCACATTCTGGTACTGATATCCCCCGTGGATTTTCAACGCGTTCTGTTCGTCCTCCTCCGGATACGGATCCGTCGAGGAAGGTGGATACCGCTCGCGCAGCGGACCACAAGGGGTCGCTGGCTTTCGGTACAGAGGAACATGAGTCAGGAGAATGGTAGGAAATCCGGGAGAGAGGACTTCTCTCATCTGGTAAACCGTATTCACGGACGGGTCAACGACACCAGCGCGAAAGACGTAACCTTCGCTCTGGTTGCGCAACAACCGCAGCTCCTCGGTCTCGAGCCGGGCCTTCTGCGCTTTCACGCCGTTCAAAAAGTCCTCGGTCGCGCTCCAGATTTGGGCATTGGGCTGGTGTCCATCCCCCGCCCCGTTGCCCGAGCTGCCCGTCTCCGGGTCCGGCTGGTCCATCGCACTGAGGGAGACGGTATCGACCGAGACAAACGTGTGATTGCCGACGATATCAATGCGATTCCCGCGTCCAAAATACGCCTGAAACCGCCGACGGACGGGATCCTGGATACCATTCCCGAATCCCAGGTCGTGATTCCCCGGTAAGCTGGCGACCAGCTTGCGGCCTCGCGGGTCGGCGCCAGAACGCGCCTTTCTCTCATTCCACGTACGGAAGAAGATCCTCGCAAACCGGTCGTATTCCTTCAGCCAGAACTTATCTCCGTATTTCTTGTAACGCTTGTCCGGGCTGGAGCTCGTGCTCGTCGCCCATTCTCTGCCTCCGTCGAAGAGGTCTCCCAAGAAGAATACCGTGTCGGGTACGAGGGTGTTCTCTATCGACGAAAAGGCCCGCCTGAGATATTGATCCGTATAAAGCACTGTCAACGTCGACAGAGGCCACGGCCGGCCCGGGTACGTATGAGGATCGACCAACTGGGGGTCCGCGACGAATACGACGTGATGGGGAGCGGCATTCGGAGGCTGGAATAGAACAGTTAGAATCCTACTTGGTCCAGGTAATAAAAAGGGACAGTTGCTTGACTCACCCATCTCTCCCACGTCTCCCACAAGCAGCTCGAGACGCTTTCCCAGAAGACGGTCCTCTCCCCCCACCTCAGCGTGACGATCCATATCAAGATCAGGAGGTTCGCGACGCAGAATGCGCGCCGCACAAGCGACCTCAGTTCCTGCCAGAACCCACTCCGGTCCGCTCTCCTCCTGCCGCCATACCCGAAGCGATTCTGAATGTCGGCGATCCAGTCCTGCACCTCCGTCGGAAGGGCATCTAGCACCCGAGCTAACAAACTGGGCGGTTCGACGATATGGTTCCGGTAGGACGAGCGAGGCGGCATGGCAGCGCCGGGGCTGCCGTGGGGATACGCGTAGCTCATCGATCTAGTATCTCAGCAGCAGTCGTATTCGGTGGATTATTAGAAAAGACTGTCGAGATAATATCCAGCCGCATTTCGTGACTAATGGACAAACGAGTGTGGACACATTGCGGAGAGTCTACACTGCCGAGACAGGGTCGCAGTTTCTCAGCAAAACGAGGGATGGTCAATTCTGTCGAGATTACAACAAGACAGCAAGAATCCGGTCCATGGAGAGACCGGAAGTAAGATGGAGATGAGATATTAGGGCGTTCAGGCCAGCAGTGGAGAACAGCAACTGATCAGACGAGAACGCGCGGCCGAGGCATCGAGATGGGGGAATTTCCCTGACTAAGCCGATCCAGGCAAGACGCTTGGCTGCCCACAGCCATCAATGATCAATCAGAACCAGCCGCAGAAGAATTAATATTCCTTCTCTTCTGCTATTAATAGTAGATGTAGTCATGCTCAATATCAATACTGAAATACTCCGCAACCGTCTTGGTATTACCTAGAAACTATACTAACTCCATCGTGACAAACAACTCTAGTGGCTAGCCAGGAAGCTTCAGCACCATGGTATTGATATGGATAATATCTATCTACGATTAGTTACTAGGGACAGTGGATTCCCGCCATCTGACAGCCCGACACTGCTCTCTCCTCCCATCGAAACGGTTCTGCATAGAAACCAGCGCGTCGACGGACTCTCTATGAACCCAGATCCTAAATCTACAGATCATGCCATGAAAAACCGATGCCAAACCGAACCCACGCCGAAACATCCTCCGGAGAATGGTAGTAACAAAGTAACAATACCGATCGGCTAAGACTAAACACGATTAGGTGGAAATAACGGGTAGGAAGAAGCGTAGAAGAAGACAAAAAAGAAATCAAATCACTTGTTGTTCGGCTTCGGGCAACACTGGCCTCCTCCACGACACTCATCACCGCATTCGAGGAGGCAAGCACTTGGTTCGTCCCGGAAACTCGCTGCACGGCTGGGGAGCATGGTGCTGGAGACATCGCCGTCCCCGCTTCCCGGTCGACTGATCAGCTGCCCGTAGGTGTCCTCCGTATCACTGTCGGTGGTGAACTCGGGCTGGATAGTCGAGGAATGGATGCCGTAGGCATGCAGACACTTGCGCACCTGTCTCGCCAGACGCATATAGCGCTCAGAGCCTTCGTCCTTGATCTGGCAGTCGATCTTGATGTGCAATGAGGCCACCAACTTGGTGTCGCTCAACTGCCACACATGCAGATGGTGGCAGCTGACGACCCCTGGCAGTCGCTCGATGTCTTCCTTGATATGGTCAATGCTCATGCCCGCCGGCACCGCCTGCAGCAGGATCCGCGACGCCGCCTGGCACAGCGGGATGGCGGAGCAGAGAATGATGACCGTAATAACCAACGAAATGCCCGGGTCCACATAGTATCGCCAGTCGTAGTCCGTGAGCCAGATGACCAACGCGGACGCAATAACACCAATATTTCCCAGGGCGTCGCCCATGACATGCAAGAAGACTCCCTTCATGTTTAGGTCCCCATGAGAGTGGCCCTTCTTGTCGCCGGTCTTCGGCTGAGCGTGGTAATGAGTGCCGTGCACATCGGAATCTAACGACTTGCGAGGCTTGGGAGTGGCTGTGGCCGTTTCATCCGTGTAGTTGGCCGCACGATCCTTGTGTCGCAGCAGGTTCGACCGCTCCGAAACAGGCGCTGCAACCCCTTCGCCTTGGCTGTCCTCTTCCGACTCCAGACTCTCCTCATCGTCAAAGCGACTGGCCGCGATGATGTCCTGCCAGCGGGTGGCCGGGTGGACGTGGATATTGTCCAGACTGCCGAAGCCGCGGGGACGAGATCCGCTGAGACGGCGCGACTGCCGGTGATGAATCTCGCCTTCTCTGGTTCTGCGGGGAGCCACAGGTGTAGGCTCGGCCACGGTAGAACTGGTCTCATCGGTCCTGGTAAATCGACGCACGCGATCCCCGTAAGGTTGCGGGCCTTCGCCGACATCAGGCCCATCCGATCGACGGACGCCGACCACATTCTCGGGCATGACACTGGCGACGGTGCCCCGTTGGTCGGCCATTTGGGGCGTGCTCTGCTCCTCGCCGTAACCCTGCTCTGCCGCGTCCAGGTCTCCCTTGGCTCCGTGCGGATGGCCATGGTCGTGACCGTGACCGTGGGAATGGTCATGGAAGAGGACCAGGCCCAGGATATTCGACAACAGACCGAAGCACCCCACGACGCAGACCAGCTTCGGGTTCTTTACTTCCTGGGGCTCGACCAGCCGTTGGATGGCCTCGAGAAAGATGGACATGCACAGGGCGACCAGAAAGACCCCATTGATCAACGCACCCAATGTCTCCGCTCGTTGCCACTGCATTCACGATCCTCGCGTTAGGAATATCCTCTAGATAGAGGGACTAAGCGGGACTCACGCCGTATGTGTACATCTTCGAATTGGTTTCCCGGTTGGCAACCTTGACGGCCCATAATCCGACAATCAAGGACAGGACATCATTTAACTATAGAATAGAATTAGCCGGTCGATTGTTCGACACACGAGAACACTGTAAACCGCAGAAACAATGGATCGACACGTACCATGTGAAAGGAATCAGCAACAAGGGCGAGGGAGTGAACGGCATAGCCTGGGCATCGGAGTCAGCAAAACGACACCGCCTCTTGCAGCAACGACCAGGATTGACCGCAACGCACCGACAACCAGCTCCAGCAGGAAGAACAGCGTATCGATCACCAGCAGGGTAATGATTCTGGTGGACTTGGACAAGGCCATGGCTGCGTCAAGAGCCGACGGGCGCGCCCCAGGCGCGGAAAGGCGACAGAAAGCAAATCAGGACTGTGCACTAGCGCATATGGTTCGCGGCGGGGATTCGATCTGGCGTTGTCGCAGGGAATGGATGGGAAGAGGCGAAGAAAAGAGAGAGCGGAGGGCGATGCGATAGGCAGAGAGGAAGATTTTTGGTTTGGGGTCGGATTTTTGTCGCCCCTCAATCGACCGGCTGGTTCCTTTCGTTTCCGACGGCGAGCGGAGAGTCGACGTAATAAGGCAGCTCCGCCTTAAGTCACGCGTGGCGTGAGCAGGGCCGCCGTGGTCCGGCCGTTGCTAAAATCACTAATTACTGTAAATCCTGCAGTGAATCAATAATGTATTATTCTAGTGACCCTGTCTTCCTGCACTGACAAACGCATTGTGCTGAGCATTCTTTGTGCGCATGCCTGTGCATTTTTTCCTGTTAGCGCGCCCTGAAGGTTCAGAGGATTGCCCTCTGCTCCACTGGAATGTCCCAACAGTTGAGCAGCCCTACTAAAAGCCTGAACAAGGGCAAAAGGAGAGAAGAAAAGTTTTTTTTTTTAAAAAAAAAATTTCTTGGCATATATATGAGCATAAAAGTACTCTGAGTCCCTATATCTTCTACCAGAGATGCAAGATCTTATCAATCAGGAGCATCTGCATAGGTGGGGCTCATCACCTTGCTATAAAAACAGTAACAGTAACTTGTGTTTGCAAAATTAGAAACAGACTGCGTATTAGTAAGAGAGATGGTGAGAATATGGCAGTCTATAGCGTAAGGAAATGGGTGGGAGCCCCTAGATAAAAACTGGTATAGTAATGTACTGTACAAAGTCTTTGGCATCCAGCAGTATTTCTGCAGACTAAGTGACTGATAGAGAATGTTGATAAAAGGCTTACACATGAACCCGGAGTATTGCTTCAGCTAATACTACTCTTTTAAAGATTACTGCAAGCAAAAAAAAAGTATCATGCCAAATCATACACAGGGAATTCTTCCATTTATACGTTGCAACTATAACAAATATGTACGGGTCGCCGTAAATACTAAACACAATGCTTCGTCATACTCATTTCCTGTGAACTGCAATCATTGCCCATTGCCAATATGCAAGGTGTCTTCCAATGCCTTGAAATGTCATGTTTTTAGAAAAACTTGCTGGCAAGGCTCAGCAGACCCGCCGGACCACCGGTCCCTCCCAGTCCGTTGCCTTGACCCTTCATGTACATCTTGAAGGCCAATTCGGCAGCCTTGTTGATGGCAGATTGCTTGTCGCCGCTCTACAGAACCAACAGTCAGATCGCAAATCACTTCTGGCGAAAAACACAGACCAATTCCAGGATTGGCGCGACTTACCACACTACCAGAGCTGTTCTGCTGCTCCCAGAGCTTCGCTGCCTGCGACATGGCCAGCCCAATCAGCTCGTTCTTGTCAGTGCCCGACGACCCTCCCGAGGTGAACAGCTTCAGCGCCTGCATGGCGGCCCCGGCTCCTAGGGTGTTGGAGTCGTGCTTGCGGCCCTCGCCGCCGCCGCTGCCGCCGTACAGCGACTGGTGAGCGCTGACCATGTGGCTCTCGTCAATGTCCTCGTTCGAGAAGCGGCCCTGGTTCTGCTTCAAGAAGTTCAGAGCCTCGCTGAAGAACGAGGAGGCACCTGAACTGCTGTCGCTGCCGTGGTGTCCTTGGGCGTGGTGCAGGGCAGAAGAGAAGTCATCGCTGCCTCCGTAGCCACCGCTGCTATGACCGTGGCCTTCGGGTCTTCCACTTCCGTACGAAGGGCGCTCATCACCGTATCCTCCGCTGGAGTATCCTCCTTCCGGCCGACCACCACCGTAGGATGGACGGTCATCGCCATATCCACTGCTGTGGTGACCGTGAGGGCGCTCCTCACCATACTCCCCCACTGGAGTACTCTCCCTCAGGTCTTCCACCACCGTAGGATAGACGCTCCTCACCATATCCTCCTGATGGACGGTCATCACCGTATCTTCCGCTGGAGTATCCTCCTTCCGGCCGACCGCTGTAGCCATCAGCACCGCTGCCGCCGTGGTGGTGTCCATGGTGGTGACGACCTTCCTCGGAGTATCCGCCCGAGTAACCGCCCTCCTGTCTACCACCGCCATAGCTGCCGCCGCTGCCGTATTCAGCGGAGTAGTTACCACCGTAGTCGTCACGGCTGTAGGACATTGTTATGCAACACTGGAGAGAAAGGCACGGAGTCTGTAACTGGGATAGGAATTGTTTGTCAGAGAAAAAAAGCAAAAAATAAACAAACAAATCAATCAATTGAGCAATGATGAGCAAAGAAAGATCAAAACTTACCAGTTATTTATATCTTTATTGACGAAGGGAGATGCTCTAGAGAGAGAACTGAGAGGGAGTAGACAACACTGTGGCGGTGCAACGCTGTTGGCGGGGTATCGGAGGCTGAGGCCGCGCAATGATGCGGGGCAAGCCGCAGCGAATCACATGACGATTGGCTGGTGGGCGTCGATCGAAATTAGAACGATGGACAAGGACGTTACCTTGTACGTCATAGGAGGAAATCACTGCTGGATACATGTACTGTACATGTATCTACACAGTAGACCAATGGCAGAGACCTGCGCTGTTAACGCTGAGATGCGCTTAACAGCCAGATTCGTGGGTCGTTCTGGAAGTTGTGTTCTATGTCGAGATCGGGAAGTTCTGCACTCTGATTGGTCGAGGAGTCGGAAGGAATATCCATGGATGGGAACCCAGTACGGAGTACCACAGGAATTATCTACCCTTCTGACCCATCTATGAAGTAGACAGATTGTGCTCAGACAGTGTTTATTCAGCAGAAGGTACATGTACGTACAATATATGTGCAGTACTTACACAGACTCCAGGCAACTCTCGCATAGATGACAAGAACAAAAACCTGGTATATCCCCTCTATTATAATGGAAATAACACTTTTTGCTGATAATTTCTACGGACGGGCATGTGATTGGTCAGTTTTGCTTATTCAGCACCTGTCTGTAGAAATTATGTAAGCATACCACAACAAAAACTAGGAGCTGGGTATAGGCTTTATACTGGTACCCCTACAGATTTTTATACTGGGACCCCTACAGGCTTAATATTGGAACCCTTATAGGCTTCATGCTGGCACCCCTATAGGCTTACATTGGAACCCCTATAGGCTTCCCTACAGGCTTTATACTGGCACCTTTAAAGGCTTTATGCTGGCTCCCTATAGGCTTTATATAGGCTTACGTTATAGTTATGCGGAGGGCCGAAGGTCCAGAGGATTTATAGGCATTAGAAAGCCTAGGTGTTCTTTACCCTTCAAGCCTAGACGAGCGGAGCGAGTCGTTAAAGGCTTGTATCTATATATCTATGCAGAAGACTTTCCACTTGTTCAGGCGCGCTTCCTGGCCATATCCTCTGTCCCAGAACTACCCAAGGGAACATAACATTGTTGGTGTCGATAACACAATGCTACAACTATAAACCAAGAATCTGTATTTTTTTTCTCCAGTAGTACCTAATTTTAAACAAATAATAATACCTGCAGGAAGGCAACTCCACCCAGTTAGTTAGTTAATATTGAGATAGACGGTACTCTCTACCGACGTTACTAACCCTTCAAGCAGATAGATGCGTTTGTTAGATTCATTGTCGTTGTCAATACTGTGCTATGCTCGCTCGCTCACTACATCCTTACCTTATGCAGACAGAGAGACAGACAGAGAACACTTCTGGCTAACTTTTATCGAGGATAAAAAAAGGAAAGGGAAGGAAAGTTTGTGCAAAGAAAAAAAAAGATCCATACAAGATCTCCCAATAATGGACAAGACAGACAACCCGCCAGGAAGATAGACAGACAGGGATCGACTCGACAGTAAATAGCCCACCCCGCCGGAATTGGAATTCTAAACTCGAAAAAAAAAAGAACAATTCGAATGGAGTAGGGTCCTGCGAAATAGAGCCTACAGCCGGATGCAACACATTGCTTGCAACCCATAACCAAGAACAAAGTCACATGCGGGTATGAGATGTATGTCAGTATTACAAAGTAAAGTCATCAACCAACAGACGACAGTGCAGGTATCTTGCACTGTGAAAGCGCTCCACTAGAGAAAAAAAAAGTCTAAAGACAAAATGACGTGAAAACTATGAACCTCCGCACAGCATAAGATTCATCACCCTATTTATTTCCTTTATTGACAGCCTCACCAGTCGTCGTCGTCGTCCTGTGAACCTCGCATAGCACTCTGGCGCTGTCTCAACGCCTCGGCAAGGCCTCCCGCGAGGCTGGCATTCGATGCACTGTTCGGGGTTGCCCGTCCACTTCCTCCAGACGAGTCTTGCGAGTTCATGCTCACAGCGCTATCGCGTGCGGGCGGTGCAAGGGGCTTCCCTCTTGCGGCCGGTCTCTTCGCGGGAGGCGCCGGCGGAGTCGGCTTCGCCTTCGCTGCCGCCGCCGCTGCAGCGCCATTTGTCGTTGCCTTGGGCGCTGGCGGCGGAGGTGGTGGCGCCGGTTTAGGTGCAGGGGCAACCTGCTCCTCCAGGTAGGCTTGTGGAGTCCATCCTTGAGCATTCGTCTCCATGTTCATACACAGCCACCATCCTGTTCATCGTCAGCAACCATCACTCCCAAACTCTTCTTACTTAGCCTCAAGAAATATGAAAACTTACCATTTCCTTCCTTGGAAATGATCTGGACGATTTCTCCAGCACGGATCGAAAGCTCGTTGGATTGGTCACTGGTGAAGTCATAGAGCACCTTGGCGGTAGGCTTCTTAGCCGGAGGAGCGGCAGGTGGTGGCGGCGGAGGTGCGCGAACTGACGTCTGCGAAGCTGCTGACGGGGTGCGGTTGTGAGATGCTGCCACCGCGGCGACAGGCTGGGGTACGGGCCGTGCCTGGGCAGCCGCTGCTGCTGCGGGCTGGGGAGTCGGCTGAGGCGCCGGCTGGGGTGTAGGTTTGGCAGCGGTGCCATTTGGACGGTTTCCGCTGAGCTTCGAAGGGCCACCTCCAGGCCCACCAGGACGTAGCAGTTTGCCTTTCGTGACGGGCCTGGCAGCAACCTGTTTGGGTCTGGGAGTTGGCTTCGAAACGGAGTCGGGAGGTTCACCCGGTCCTGTATGAATGGTGCCGCTCTTATACGTGTCGTCGCGAGGGACGGCAGGGTCTTTGACGGCCTTGACGGTGGCTAGCTTGCCTGGCTTCTTGTTGTATTCAATCCTGGAGCATTGTCAGCGCTGCAGTGCATAATGCACCGGATGTACGTACGTTTCGCCAATCTTCAAGTTCAGCTGCCCGCGCAAAGCGTTGGTGAGGTGAGTGAAGAACTCGGTCTTGAATACACAGCTGATGAGAGGGTCGGGTTCTTGCTGGGAGCCGACGACAATGGCAAACCAGTCGTCCTTCAAGTTCGAAGTGCTGACACATTTGATGGCACCAACAGGAATCGTTCGCTCCGAGGAGATCGTCAACTGGTTGTTCACGATGCTCTGCACGATTATGTAGACATGTCTGCTGGTCTATTGAATAATTAGCAGCCGTTTGTAGGCCTCATAATTTCAGTTATACGCACCAGGACAAGGATACGAGGCATCGGTTTGCTCGATCGACCGAACTTGGAGACTAGCAGTTCACAGCGGCATGAGAAAAGAATAGGGTCCGAACCTAGATGGACTGTTAGCGAGCCGTACCAAAACAAATTGAGAAGATCGCCTCTCACCGATGCCGGCGCTGCTACGAATTATTTCCCCTGGTCCGCCCTTGTTACCAACGCCAATGTAGTCTCCCATGAATCTGCGCGAGCCCAGAAGACTCATGCGCCGTCGCTCTTTCTTGCCCTGGAGCACCTGGTGGCCTTGGTCACGCAATTTGATATATTCCAAGCCACCAGTGACGCGGCGCCAGAACCGCTGGATGCGGATAGCGCACTCTGTGCGATAACGCAGGTAATTACGCCATGCTCGCTGGATGCGGATGGCCATATTGTGCCAGTAGCGATCACGCATATGTTCCAGAGCAAAAAGCGTCTCGGGGGTCTTGATGAACGCTTTTGTAACACCCATCTGGTATTCCTCGGGAGGAATGCCAACGTCTTTCAAGATCTGGCGGGCTCCAGATTCTGCATCTCCTGTCCAAATGTAGTCACCAGCATACGACGTGTGCTTTGACAAGAGATAGAATCGCTCCACGAACTTGTCGAAAGTCTGACGGTATGCGAACCCGGCTCGTCGGATACGCACGTTCTCCTGAAGACCGAGATATTTGATTTGGTGCAGCACATTAGCCTCATTGTATTTCTTGGGGGACTTATTGTCGTTGGGCTTGATAGTCCGGATGTACGACGGTTGGCATCTCATTAGTGTGTCAACCAGATCATTGGCAGATGCCTTGATCTTGTCACCAGCCGTGGGCGGGCGTCTCTTGTCATCCTGATTAACCTGGTTGGGGAACAGGGTATGTAAGAAGTGGTTGCTGCTAGAGTCCACCAGGTTGAGCAGGTCCTTCAACAACTGATCCTTGTTCTTGTCGGTCATGCCCTCGACAGTGTAGGTGACATCTCCAGCATAGTGCTTGATAATGAACTGGCCCTGGCGATTCTCAAAGTTAGGATTCTGCGAGAGGAAGTTCAGCCTCCCCACGAAGGTCTGGTCGGCAGCAGCGGAGTCTGCGTGAGCAGTGGCGCAGGCGTCGTTGAGCGCCGCGAACACACCGGGTGGACGCTTATCCTCAATCAGCGAGCACACCACCTTGTTGTCGAAATAGCTAATCGGAGTCCATTTGATCTGCTCCCGAGCGTACTCCTCCTGCTCCGCTTTCAGCGTCAACTGAATGAAAATCTGCTGCAGTTTCTCGTTGACGTAGTTGATACACAGTTGCTCGAATGAGTTCTTTTCGAAAATCTCAAACCCGTAGATATCGAGGATACCAATGGAGTTGGCCACCGCGCCCTTTGCGGTCAGCGAGTTGTTGAGTCGTTCCACTATCCAATCGAAAAGATTGAAGTAGATCGCTTTCGCAAGGGCATCCCGGACCGCGAGTGCCTGAACCGTGTTCAACGGAACTTCATAGACTGAGCCCCTTCGGCCTCCCCGAGCAGTCTCCATGATCCGTACAGTGAGAGCTTTGTTAACCTGTTCGGGAGCGACTTCGAGAAGATAGGCGACGAAATCCACCACAGATTGATCGGTAATCGACGCGTTGGTGTGGTCGTCCTCAACGAACTGAATATTTCCCAACCACAAGATTGCAGCCAACATGCGGAAGATGTTGTCCTGCTCAGCTTGACTCAACCCAATGATTCTCATGGCTTCAAGGACATCTTTGAAATCGGCAACATCATCTATGCCCGGAACATCGAGACATTTTGAGCGGCTCGTATAGAGATATGACTGTGGTTGTTGAATCCCAAAGTTGTCTGGAGAGGAGAGCTCACATTAGCACAATACTACTCCTGATAGAGAATGGACACTACTGACCTCGATAGTTCTGTGGCGCAGCCTTGGTAAGCTGGTAGAAGATGTGGAAATTCCGCTCGTTTGTGATCTGGCCAACGACTCTGGACTTCTCCAGGAGATAGTTGGTGATCTTTGCGCCAATAGGCTCGCCATTGCTATTGAATTCCAGCTCCAGATACTTTCCGAAACGGGACGAATTATTGTTGCGCAGTGTCTTCGCATTTCCAAAGGACTCCAGAAGAGGATTGGTAGCTAAGACCATGTCCTTCGTCTGCTGAATGGACGAATCGCTACCTCCCGAGACGCTCGCGATGTACTGCATCAACCGCTTGGCGGCCTCGGTCTTCCCTGCTCCGGATTCACCAGAGATAATCACGCACTGGTTATCCTTGTATGCTTTCATATTGTAATAGGCGGATTCGGCGACTGCAAAGACATGGGGCGGAACTTCAAGTCGGTTCTTGCCCCGGTACGATTGGAGGACTTGGTCGGTGTAAATCCCCACTGTAAACGTGTTAGGACTGTACAATCGAACTAGGAGACATATGCGGGCACTTACAATCTCGAAACGGGTTAACCGATACCAACACATGGCCGATATATGTCTGTCGCGACCGGATTAGCATGAACTGACCAACAGAGGGGACTTTAACCCGCGTTTCCCCAGAGGGCCACCCACGTATATCTCTCCATGCTCAAAGCGGAGTTTGAGGTTCTCGTTGATAGCCTCGTTGGACACCTTGCTCAGCAAGGTAAGATCTGACACACCAATTTCCTTCTTCTTGGTGCTCTCGAAAACGGCCTTCTTGACCTGAGGCTTTCCCCCGGTCTGTCGTCCATCGCCAACGTCGGCTTGTTGAGCCTTGGAGCGGCCGAAGCCACGGCTCTTCTTCTCACCACCGGCGGGACGTCGGGATTGACCCTAAAAGAACAGAGAACAAAGTTAGCATTGGAGGTGATCACTTTTGGCAGTTGGCGGTAATGCATCGCTCACCATCTTTCATCCACACGAGATGCTGCGCCCAGATGTCACAGCCGAATCTGACGTATCAGTTCCACAGTGGTATCTCCTGGGCGCACGGTGCAGCAGGAGAAATAACACGGGTAATTTTGCGGCTGAGCCAGGGGCTCACAAAAGTCTCATTCCAGGGAATTTGGGGCAGTATCAACAGCACAGGGCGGTTGACACAGAGAAAGGTGAGTAGAGCAGAGAACGTGAGGGAAGGATCTCACAGTTGGGCTCCTCTCTCTGCGCCTGTTCTCCCGCAGTGGGACTGCACTGACAGATGATGCAGCACGAATAGCGGGTGCTTAGCAGGCTGCGCCACACGTGTTGTGGCGCCCCGGTTCCGGGCTGCCGACGCGTCACCTTTTCTGTGCTCTTCCCCTCTGCAATGGGGCTGGTGAATTGCCCCTCTTTGTTTGGTTTGCTCGGCTGTGCCTGCGCGGCTAGAAGCGCAGCGGAACGTGACGATTTTAATTAAATGCCGCTGCCTAGCTGTGGCTGGTGGGGACATAAAGAGCCTGCTCAGTCAAGATGTCACTCAATAACCAGATGGGTCTGCCAAAGAAGTTCAAGAAATAATACACAATTTCAGAAAGAGATAAAAAAAAGGATTTGCACTGCACGATTACTTGGAACTCCATGGTGGAGGCATTATTACTTCAATGACAGATAACTGCATTCTGTACACTCACGTGGTCCAATTATATTTGCTCGCATGACAATCCACGCGCGAAATGACAAATGATGAGATGCCTTAGTCCCATGCAACACCCATTAGAGAAAGCTAGGATTTCATGAAGATAGCAAATAAAAAGGAAAATGAAAGCTCACAACTCCCCACCTATGCGATTTTGGTGGGTAGGAATTTTACAACTCCTGCGGATTGAACCAAAGACAGGATACAGACAATCATAAATTCATGAAACTATCTAGCACAGCACAGGAGAAGAAGGAAAGATTTGATACCACAAACTCCAGCGCATCCTAACCACAAATCCACTCTCGTTCCCAGAACTCGACGATATTGCTCGCAGTCCCTTCCCCAAGGTAGTCCGTCAAGAGCTGACGACCTTCCGGCGTCCTGACGGCGCTGCTCAAGGCGCTCAATGACGGGAACAAATCACTCAGGACGTTAATATCATGCTGCGAGAGTGATTGGGAGGGACTGTTCGCAGTTACATGGCCGAGGAGAGACAATGCCGATGAAGATGTGGGAAAAGAGCTGAGCTGGCTCGGTGCACGCGCAAGAACCTCCAAGTATTCGCGAATGGATGCAAAGAGAGTGGAGGGCTCTGAAACCGGGATGATGGGGACGGCTGGAATGGAAAGTGACTCGAAGAGACTAGAAATGAAGACATAACCAGAGTCAGTCATGGATACCAATTGTGAGTTTGTCAGATGGCTCGCCTACAGTACTTGCAAAGACATCAAACCGCCCAATTTGCATCTCCCACTGGCACTGTTCAACGCTTCTTCGGATTGAAGGAAAACAATGGCAAGGTTGGAGTTACCAAAGCTCTTTCCTAGCAGAGAGAATCTTTCGACTCGAGCAAGTATGTTTTGTCGATTGATGTCCTCGAGTGAAGAAGGCGTGACGAGAATAACGCGAAGCTCCTGTGAGCCCTTCTGCTGGCTGCCCAGAGGGCGAAAAACAAAGTCATGCGTTTCAAGGTACGATTCTGTGTATTGTTAATGAGTTGCATCGACATCTACTAGGATCAGATCGACCTTGTAGTTTCGTGTCCGTTTCCGATTCCACAACAGGTCCAAGAACTCTCCACACGGGGCGAGTTCGGAGGGAAGAACAGAACATGGCTGGTGTTTCTTAATGTACAGTACAAACGTCTGCTGCGTATTTCTTCAACTCACGGAGAGTCTCATTGATCATGAACCTGACAAGTTTCTATGTACAGCATAGAAATGTAGTAAATCTTTAAGACATCCAGCACCACACCAAGAAGAGATACCTTAGCTCACATGACCTAGGCGGCAAGTAAGAGTGATGAGCAATAATATATTGTACAGAGAGAGGAAAAGGAGAGTGGCAGTAGATCGGTAAAATATTTTAGGAAATAACCATCCTGATTGAATATTTTCATCAAATGCAAAAGGGTATCAGGGGAATAGCAGAGCCACACCCAGCTGTGGCAATTCTAGAAAGAACTCGTACTTAAAAAAGATCAGGAGTCTTTGGATGACGACCCTGCTTGAGGTGATCCCTTGGAAGGAGGTGTTATGGGATGGGTTGATGACTTCGCTGACGAAGACTTCGGCTCCTGCACGCCCTGAGGTTCACCGACGGCTCCATTTCCGGGCTGAGGGGCCTGATCAGCCTTCTCTGAAGAGAAAAGGGCCCGGATCCGTGACACCAAACCCTGCTCTTTGGCTTTCTCTTCCTCCTCTTCTTGTTCTTCTTCCCATACTTCACGGGGAAGCACGCGTTTCATCTCTTTGACCGAATGCTTCCCATATTGAGCCTTGAGCTCCAGCAGCTCCTTCTCTAATGCAGCCAAGGCTTTCCTGGCAGCCTTCTCCGACTGTTCCAATTCATTCAGCCTATCCTGAACGTCCTCCCGATGAGTTGTCTCCTTTCTCCTGGATCTCCACGACTCGAAAACGATCAGACCACCGGCCACCAGGAACAAGAAAGCCTCGCTGATAAAGTTGGCACCCGTGTCAATCGCTTTGGCTTCAGATAATGGCCGAATCCGTGGTAGAGGTCTCTGTTTTGCAGCTTCAATGGCCTTCTCCTTTGCTTTTGCCGCGGCAGCCTCTTCTGCCTTCGTTTCGGCTTCTGTTTTCACTGTGGGAACCGTCGACTGGTGTTTCTTCGCCTCCGCCTCAGCTGCTTCTTTGGCAGCCTGTCTTTCAATGGCTGCATTGTCTCGAAGAAGGCCCAACCGTAAGCGCATGTCGACTCGGTGGAGAGCCTGGGCGAAAGAAACGCACATCCGCCGGAAGCGCTCATGTTCGCGGGCCTGGGCTTTTATTTGATTCTTCACAATGTCAGCAAATCGGTACCAGTATCATGGAAGGTATCGTGTTGTGTCGCATACTGCAATAGGCTTTGATAGGGTGCGGATAAGCAAAGAAGAGAGCTTTAGAGTGAGCGACATAGCTGTGGTTCAGAAAGCGGGGGAGGGTAGAAGAACGCCAACAAACACCTGAAAAAAACAAACACCTGAAAATTGCAAGACAATTCACGCCATAAAAGGGAATATAATTGGAGTAAATGACCAGATCAACGCCATCAGAACGGCTGAATGGATGGTTTGGGACGTATAGGCACCCGACAAGACACTGTGCCGCTGCGATGGATGATGACTCGAAGGAAGCGATCGGCCCGAGCGGGCTGACGGAATGACATCGGAGGCAGGGAACACGAACCAATCAGAATCGCTGCCCTCACAAAGTGGGCCAGTTGTCCATGACGCTGCGGGAGAAACGGTTGTTCCGGAGGCCGGGTCCCGTGTTGACACATTTCCTGATTCAGTAGTAAACTTCCCAGCCACCGCCTGACGACTGTTATTGTTATCAGTTGCACCGCAAGAAGTGACGTCCATTGACACCCTGCACTCTCGATGGGGAAGAAGAGTTTTGTGCAGTGCTGAGCTTCTTGTTTGTCGCTTATGCGCATTGTTCGAGGCTTCGTATTTTGGTAAGGACTATCCTCATTCTTTATTCCAGTGACGTGCAAAGTGCAAAAAATGCCCTGCACTTCAGATAATCCTCAGTTGCTAACAACATATCTGCACTATATCACAATAGACATAATACATCTAATACGGCATACGAGATACCCGCTGCGTTCGTCTTGTCACGGTCTGCTACCAGAGTTTACGACGTTACGGCTTTTTGCATCTCCGGTCTATGGGCTTTTGAGGAGAATACCCAGTGCGCCAATTCCCAGTCAACCTAAAAAAACACTGCCATCCCTGGGATTGCGATGGAAGCGCTGTCCCCTCGTTCAACCAATCTCCCGATCAAGAAAAAGGAATCAGAAACTCGTCAAAAGGTGGATCCCAACGCGCCTGCGGCCGCTCCGGCCCAAAAGCCAGCACCCTCGAAAGTCCATGCGCCGCCGCCACCCCCGATTGTGACGGAGCCAGGCGAGGATGGAGAGAGGTACTCGACGGGCCAGTTTTTGGGGAAGGGGGGATTTGCGGTCTGCTATGAAGGGAAGCTTCTGCGCAATGGGCGGGTCTTTGCGATGAAGGTGGTAAAATCGGAGATGCATCAGAAAAAGATGGCAGAAAAGGTTTGTCTTTCAGGCTTTGATCTCATGGCGGATGATTAATTGACATCGCACCCCAGTTTCGCACCGAACTCGAGATTCATTCTAAAATGCGACACCCCAACATTGTCCGATTCTACCGCGCCTTTGCGTTTGAGCAATGCACCTACGTTATTCTGGAGTTATGTCCGAACGGGTCCGTCATGGATATGGTCAAGAAAAGAAAGTGCTTGTCGCTGCCAGAAGTCAGGCGCTTCATGATCCAACTCTGCGGGGCTGTGAAATACTTGCACAAGCGATTGGTGGCACACCGGGATCTGAAGATGGGTAATCTGTTTTTGGATCACAACATGAATATTAAAGTGGGCGACTTTGGCTTGGCCGCGATGATTCTGTCAGAGAAGGACGAGAGAAGGAGACAAACTCTTTGCGGAACTCCCAACTATATCGCTCCCGAGGTCATCGACAAAAGCAAGGGTGGGCACAACCAAAAGGTGGACATCTGGTCCTTGGGAGTGATTTGGTAAATCCCCGTCCCACAGCCGTCCTCGATGTTCACGGGCTAATATGTATCACAGTTTCGCAATGCTCACCGGCTATCCTCCATTCCAATCAAAGACCCAAGAAGAGATTTATAAGAAAGTCAGGAACTTGAATTACGTCTGGCCAAAAGATTCCGAGTGTGGCAACCACATACCCGAAGAAGCAAAGAGCCTCGTTAGCTCTTGTCTGAATCTGGCTGAAGATGAGCGACCTCTGCCTGACGATATTGTCGACCATGATTTCTTCAACATGTACGACGGATGTATTCCCCGGCAGCTGGATCCCTCATGCCGCCATACGAAGCCGGTCTGGCTTAGAGCGGAGGAGCCTCGAGGCGACCGAATGATTGGTGGCTACAGCTTGGAATACGATGAAAAATACCTGAGCAAGGCAGCGCATATCAAAGATCCGAGAGAACGATATCTCTTCTGTAAAGCAGAGTTTTATACTGAATGTGGTGTAGGTCGAAAGCCAGATGGGTCGTACCGCAAATGCGCGGGCAAAAATGCCTCCAAGACTGCGTTATCTGAGACCCTGCTGGAGCAGGACAGGAAACTTTCTCCCATCATCCCGTTGCCGCCGGATTTTGTGTATAGGTATCCTGTTAGTCTTGATGGCGATTGGAGTGTACCCGATAACGAAGTGCCTCTCAAGGAGCGCAACAACGACTCTGGTTCGGATGATAGCTACGAAACCATGCCACACAGCACTGATCTTAAAGGTGATTCTGCCTCACTTGCCCGAACGCAGGCAGCCCTCGCCGCCGCACAGCTGCGGCGCATGGAATCGCAACCACAAAGTCATGCGGCTACCCTTCGGCAACAAGCACTGCCCATGCGTGGGCCAAGCAGGAACGTCGGGACAACCCGCAGTGCACAGGAAACCGCTGCAGCCATGAGAAGAGCCATCAACACTCAAGACTTTGTTCCGGATTCTTCTGCAAGAGGGCTGGCGCAACGACCTGTGCGTGTTCCACGAGGAGTTGCGGCGTCGTATTCTGCTTCCATTCGCGATCTCGACCGGCTTGTCGCTCCTCCAATGCCCAAGTCTGAGAGTGTTTCCAGCAACTTCACAATGGGCAAGACACGCTCACAGTCACGGCGTCAGCTTGAGTCTGCTGCCTCTGAAAGACCTCCTGATCCACCCGTTGCGAGAGAGGAAGAACAGCCCCCTCCTTCTCGCGGAAATCCAGACAGAGATGAACTGCGGCCGGAACCGCCCGCATCCAGGGTGACACGAGCACCATCGAGAGGAAAGGAGGACATCAGGCCGACAGGGGAAGGTTTTCAGACCCAGAGGGGAGACCAAAACTTGCAGAAGGGCCCGCAAGGCACAAACAGAACAGGCTCCTCTGGAAACAAGCCACGCTCGACGCTCGGTCTGAGCCCCCTTATCCATTCCAGCGAGGAATTCGAGCTGATGCAAGGGTCCTCACCGGAAGAAGTTGTCATGGACATCAAAGTGCTGCTCAAGAATCTGACACCAACGTCATCTCGTCGAGCATACAGGCCGCAAGCGAGACGCAGACCACATACATACGTTATCAAATGGGTCGACTATACGAACCGCTATGGAATTGGTTATGTCCTGGACGACGGCAGTGTAGGGTGCGTCTTTAAAGCAGAGAATGGCCAGCCTGCGAGCTGCGTTGTCGTTCGGGATGGCGAGAGACATATCCGCCGCAAGGCACGGAGCCAGGAGAACCGCGATGGACAATCCGCTTATTCTGAGGCGGACCAGCTGGTTCCCCGGAACGGCAAGCCCGTGGAATTTTACGAGAACTGTGATAATGGACCTCCTGAATGTCGCGGGATTCGAAGAGTCCTCGTGCAACCGACAGTGTTCGAAGTAAAACCGTCCAGCAGTGGCTCTGGTGGGCTGGGCGTTAAGGTCAAGACGGGCTCTAGCATGGAGTACGCGAGGTCTGAGGCGGAGAAAGTGAAACGGGTCAAGCTGGTAGATCAATTTGGGAAATACATGATTGGTTCTTTGGGCAGACATGGGGATGAAGAAATTGACGACGATGCGCTTTCGACGAGAAGCTCCGGTCAGTACATCAAGTTCTACCAGCGTTTGGGGAATGTTGGCGTTTGGGGGTTTGGGGATGGTGCTTTCCAGGTAGGTCTTACGTCTGAGATGGATTTCCGTCAATTGTTGATTGCTGACTCCGTGTTCAGTTTAATTTCCCCGACCACACCAAGCTGGTGATTTCCCATGGCAGCAGTCGAGGCGCATCGCCCTGGATAGACTTCTACCATCTTTCTCCGTCTGCAGCTCGCTACCTCAGCGCGAAGGGGAAGATGCATCCCACTGGATTTGATACCCGCGCCGTAGCGTCAGATGAGGCAGCGACCTTTCTGGCCGTTGCGAGCGCACCGCCTGAAGCAGCCACGGACGAGCGATTACGGGAAGTTCTGGAGGCTAACTTGTTCCTGCAGAAGATGGACTTTGTGAGAAACGTTCTGAGCGGCTGGATCCGCTATGGTCGACTGGGCGGGCGGCCACGGCCGTCTGCTGCCAGAGTTGACAGCGATGGCAACAGCTACACTGAACATCCGCCGGAGATATACTGGGACGGCCCGCAGGAGCGTCCATCCGGGAATGGAGGGAAGTATGTGTGGGTGACGGTGGGTGCGCAAGGAGGCGATGGCGAGTACGTGTGCTATACGCCCAATAATATGCAGCCTGAGCAGGGGTCCAGAAGAGCAGAGGCCAGACCTGGCGAGGAAGCAGGGGCATCAAGAGGACGACATTGATGAGAGGGGATGACAATCAATACCTATTAGCTTTGTTTGTCATGAACCGTTTACGACTTGTTTTGTTTCTGTTTCGGTTTTCCAGGCAGTTGGTGTACAAGATACCCGCGAAGTTTTGCGTCTAATACCTACCTGGGTTGGTATACTGACTGTTCGGTATTGATTAGCTGTCTGCCTCTTCTATTTTCTATTTAATGTTCCTTTCGGTTTTGCGTTGTGTTATCTTGCATTAGGTTAGGTGTTTTGGAATGATTGCTCTTGCTAGAAGTAATAGCAATGTGTAATGGTTTCATTGGCTTTCCTTTGCATTGTCAGTGTATGGCTTTTTTTTTATTGACTTCTCAAGATAAGTGTATACATCGCATTGTAATTTAATAATTAAGGAAAGAATGTCTTGAAGAGAGCTAAGACAAGAATCGCTCTCTCAACCTTGATCAATATAACAGACAGAAAAGAAATAAATACACGATTTATTTGTAAAGATAGATGATACCTCACTTTTGGTCATGGTCATGGGCACCTCTGCTAATGCAATGCAGAACCAGACACAGACGCGGATCCAATTCCCAACGCATACCCAAATGCTAGTCTGCTTCGTTCGGCCGTCGTGGAAGAGTCACTCCATCTATCTCATTTGTTTAGCAACCGGACTAATATCAAGAGAATTATTTGTATCAGTTCATCTTCATTCGATCTTGATTTTTTTTTAATAATTATCTTTTAAAACTCACCGGCCAGCAACCACCGCAACCATTCTATAAATTAATAACAAGATTAGTTAGTTGCCTTTCTTCTTCTTTTTTAATATAACTTACAGGAGTAATGTCGTGCATGGCACAACAATTCGCACCGCAGTCCTCCCAGTGGCATTTGTCTGGATGGCAGGCTTCGGTGACACCACAGCATCTGGCGCTGGCGGTCATGGCCATTGCGGCGGTTAGGAGGACGATTTTGAGAAAGTGCATTTTTTTTGAATATAAAGTTGAAATTGAGATGATGTTTTTGGACTGTGTTGCGATGCTTGAGTGTAGAAGTGAAGTAGAAATAGAAATGCTTTAGATTCTCTTGAGAATTTTGTATACTATAAATTGAGGAAGCTGCAGGTTTAAATAACAATTAAACCAATAATGATAGAGAACAGAGCAGATGCGAAGTACAAAAAAAGATAGGGGTTAATACGAACAATCTACCTCCAGCAGCAGTAATTACTTCGTACTATCAGCGTCAACCAGTCAGCATGTTCCACCGCATAGCGTCGATCTCGCAGGTCCACTATTACTCTGTACAGTATACTGATTACTCTACATGTACGGAGTACTTTATACTGATTACTCTGTACACCTTTGTACACTGATTACTCTGTCACTGGCAGTAAGGAACGTCCTCCAAGGATTGTTGATCGGCAGGGGAACTGAACTGCTCGTGAGCCTCACTCACGTTGCACAGGTTAGTGTCAGCTTGCGTTTGCTGTTTGTTTGTTTGCTTGCTCTCCTGATAGACAAAGAATTTGATGGTCTGTTAATTATGACTCGTACGTAGTTCTTTGCTGCTTACGGAGTACATACTTGGCTTATGTACAGAGTACGTACTGTACTGTCAGCACTTAGGACTCAGAAGTGGTAGTACCAAGCAAATACCCGAGACAAGGAAGGAAGATGGAAGCTGATCAGCTACAGAAGAAGCAAAACTATAATCCGGAGTAATAGATAGAATTATGACTATCCTTGCTAGTAAACGATAATCGAGACCAGCTTATTGACAGCTCAGAACACACGCTCGTCTTCTGGTAGGCTGCCTACACAGTCAGCGTAAAATTGACCGCGTTGACAACCCCGTTATCTCGAGGATAAAACTCGAACGTAAACACAGTCGTCTGGCCCGCAGCAAGAACGTCGCTGATTGTCGCTGCAGTGATGATGACATGCGAGTCGTCCCAGTTCCACTGGCTGCTGTATGTCTGCGTCACATCAGATTAGTTAGCACTACCTTTGATTCATTCATGTAGGCGGTACGCAAGCTTACTGTCCTCCCCTGCTGGATCGCAGGTAGGTATTCCGTCCAGCTGTCGACGAGGTAGTTCCCATTCGCCTCGACGGCTTTCACGGCCGCTGGCTTCGGTATACCGCCCCAGGTGATAGGGATGTAAAGATCGGAGCCGTTGACGGCAGACGCAACCGCGGAAGTGGACGACAGTGAAGGCGTTTTCCACTGCACGAGCTGGATCACCTCCGAAGCACCCGCAGAGAAGCTCACGGTCAGATTGGCGAGAATGCCCGGCGCGGTTGTCGAAGAGAGGTATTTCGAGAGGAACGACGCCTTGAATGTGATATTCGAGCCGGCAACGACGTAGTCCGTATCAGCCGTTAATTTCGTCCCGTCCGACGCACTGATCGACGAAACGGAGTTCCCGTTGAACAGGAACGGGAGACTCTGATCGCTGACCGGATCCCCGTATTTGTGGAAGATGTACGCGGACGACCACTGCGTCGTCGCGCTCGGATCCTCCGTGCTGTCGGGCAGGCTGTTGGTGATTCCCCCGGTTGCGTCCATGATGATGTTGATGGCAGATGGATCGCGCCAGGTGCCGGTCGTACGGTCGAGATGATCTCCACCGTTATCCCACAGGATGGTTGATATGTTGAGCGCGCTAGCGGTGCGGATGAAATAGTCGAAGTACTTCCACCGCGCGGCCGTTTCGCAGTTTGTCGGGGACGCATCGTATTCTCCGATCAGAAGAGGAACGGTAGTGAAGTTGTTTCGGATCAGTTGGAGATCGGTCGACAGGGCGGATTTGTCGGATTCTGAGCCCCAGATCGTCTTGCCCCTGGGCCATAATTCAGTGATGACCACTCAGAAAATGGTGAGATATGCTTACCATGCGCTGAAAATAAAATCATCTACAAACATGGCGTTAGTACTGTACTTGCATTTCAGTCACTGCCATAGACTTACAAGGATTGTAGTAGTGGAACTGAATCGCATAAGGATTCGGATACCCCGTCGGCGCCACGAACCACTCCGATGTCTTGACGCTGTCCTCGCCGCCACCAACGAGGGTCACCACGCGCTGGGCATTGAATCCGCCGGCATCGTTGATTGCCTTCAGGAAGATGGCATTCAGCTTGTTGATTTCGGCGGCGTCAGTCGCATCGTTGCAGGGCGGTTCGTTGATGGGCTCGAATGCGACCAGGCTGGACTTGCACGCCAGCTTGCTGCCTACTTGGTACCAGAGACGGTAGAACTTTTCCTCGATCATGGTCAGATTTGCGCCTGGCTGGGTTACGTCCGCCCAGATCCACGAGTCTGGTCTTTGTTAGCCTGGTTCTGGAGTTAGGTGTCTGTATGTCTATCTGGCTCACCGTGATGAGCGTTGACGATGGCGTACAACCCGCGGGATGTGATCATGTCAACCACGTCGGATACCCTCTGCAGCCATGTCGCGTTGATGGTCCAGTCAGGGGAGCCACCTACAAAGTGATATGCATAGGTGACTGCGAACGTGAGTATAAATAACTTGACACAGTTCATGTGCCGCAGCTTACCTGGAAGTCTGACGCTCTTGAAACCCGCCGCTTTCACATCGTCAAACGTCAACGGCACAACGGGAGGATTATTCCATGACCCTTCGTCGGGGATTGCATCGAGTGTGTTTCCCAAGTTCCATCCGGGATTGAGATTGGCGACAAAGTCGGCGGCTGAGATGGGCGTGAACGTCCCAGTGCAAGTGGTCGAAGGGGCAGTGGAAGTGGAGGATGCTGAAGCAGGCGAGGTTGTAGTCGTTGCTGCGATTGTAGTCGTTGCTGTTGCCGGGACACACTGATAATAATCTGCCAACATCAAGTCAGTGCATTATCGAAGCGCCTTGAGATGGAGTGCTTACAAGGATTCTGTGAAGTGCAGATATAACCTGCAGTGCAGACGGTGCTTCCTGAATAGCCGAGTCCGCCGCCTGGTCAATGTCAGCAACTTTACAGATCTAACAATGAATGGTCCAGATGGAAGATGTTACACTGAGCGTAGGGGCCTGCTTGTGCCCAGGCACCCTGCAGGAGGGCAGCAAGTGCAGCGATACGAGAGACCTGCATGACTAAGATGAGCAAGAACCGACTGATCTCGTCTTACAGAGACTTAGAGGCAAATACTCTTATTTATACATGTGTAGAGCTGTCTTGTATCACAGGAGAGTGTATATTAAGAGACGGAAAATTTCTACATATACAACTACTCTCAATAATCAAGTTGTCTTAATCTCGACAAAAACGGCATTTAATTAAGTGAATCCACCAATCGGACAACACACCTCTCAATAAAACTGTAGATTCTGTCTATAGACATTTTAAGCAAGCAGTGAAAGCAGCAGTAGCATCATAGACAGTCGTTTTGAATTGGCTTGGTTGCATTGTGTTAACCCCGCAACTTCGCGGAAAGTCGCCATTAGAACCGTGATAGAACGAGAGAATCTGCAAGCGAAGGTTTTGGCAAAGAGATTTAGATCCTTGGCAAGCTACAGTAGTGTTTTACTAGATTGTTCTGGACCTACATTTACCACAATATCACATGCACATAATCACAAAAAACTCAATTGGCATTAAAACTCGCCGAGGCCTCCTTTATTAATTAAAAGCTCAAAGGCCAACAATCCATTGCCAGATTTCAACAATACAAGATCTCACTTTTGTCTTCCTCCATAAACCCTCCTCGTTGTATCTACTGTACAGTACGACCCAAGTATTAAACAGCATCGCTATCCAGCCTTATTTAAAACTAGAATATGAGCACCTGAGAAATTGACGCCGGTAATTACCGCCAGTTGCACTATATATGGTGTCGATTTCACATCTACTCGCAACTTGGCTTCGCCGCACTAAGGATATGTCATATGACTGAAGATGGCCTAAATAAATATTTACTTGCACCTGCCAAGCCCTAATTAATTCTTCGTCTAGTATTTCTGAAAAATATGGTAATACTATTGAAGGCCAAATTTAGTACCCCCCTACTTTTATTTTTCAAGGGCTGCTCTAGGCCATACTTTCCAGATAGTATTCTCTCCCTTCCTCTATCTTTTTATCTTGCCTTAATTTCTTTACCCTTAATGCCTGCCTAGGGTTTGTCATATTATCTTCTCTGCCTGCTTTTTAGTACTAATTCTTTTGAGGGGACTTCAGGGCAAGGTGCAGCAGAGTCCCAGCAATGGTAGCAACAAGTGATGTCTGTCAGGAATTGTTAATCCTCCAGAACGTCATCGTCAAACGCTTTTCGAAGCCGTTCATCATATTCCTTCCTATCTGACAGTTTCCGTGCCAAAATGCCCACGACGTCTTTCGCCCAGTACCAAGGCATAATCTGATGGAAAGCACCATGGTCTGGACATTTCTCAAGAGTTGAGGCTGAAGATGTTTCTCAAAGATGGCGAAGAGACCTGTTGGACTAGACAGCGCAAGACTGCACCAGAAGGTGCCCATCTTCCATGCCTGCTTTATGAGAGATGACAGTTTCAGGTCTCGGAATCCAGTGCCGTCAGATCGCTCCTCTTCGGCGGCTAGAATATCCAGGAATTCTGTCCGAATCTTATCGTATTCCTCGGAATCTATCTGGTCGACTGCTTTATTTGTGAGCCAGTAAGGGGGCTGAAACATCTCGATTGGCTGAGAACATGCCCATTCGAGGTCCACCAGAGAGACAATATGCCAGTCTTTGTCAATAAAGATGTTGCTTTGATGGAGATCTGTCAACGTAAATATAAAAGGCCTACGACGGAATTTTCGCTGGAAATATAAGGGGAAAATCGCTCGCATCGCTGATAGTGCTGAGGCTTGATAAATATAGTCACCTGTATCATTAATTGCGTTTGGTTGATATCGGAGGCGATTGTCGTGAAACGCAAGGACATCTGTAATGTAGGAATCTACCATTAAATAGGTGTAGTCTCGTGGTATATCTGTCGCAATTTCCTCATTTTCCAACTCCTGAATCTCAAGCGTGAGTGGTCGATTCGTCAATTGTAAAAATCCATCATTGTCAACCACAAAAGACCCAATCCTTGGTAGAGGTATACGCGCGAGACTCAACAGAATCCGAGAAAGATCACGGAAGAAGTTGGTTCGTAGCTTGACATCCTCATGCTTCTCAAACCACGTGCTTGAGAGCATTTTCCCCCTTGTCTCTTCAATGTATTCAATTAAAAGGTACCCAGTACCAACGCCTGTATCATTAGATAGTTCCCTTCACAGCAACAAGAATATCATCTACCAGACCCCGCAGCAGGATCTGGCCAACGGCGGGCTGGGCGACCCCATCAACGACGGCAACGGCACGACCATCCAAGGCCCGCTGCTGAGAACCAGATGGATTGCTGTTTTCCGTGTTAACCCCCTAAATCCTGTCAACCGGCAGCTATCAATCATACTAGTGGTTTACCAGATAACCTAGGTTTTTTTTTCTTTGTGTGCCCCAGTTTTTTTTTGACAAACCCCTTGATGAGGAGTCATCTTGTACCGTGTTAGTAGTAGATTGCTTAGTTTTGGTGGAGCTTGTACACAGTTGAACATGATATATATATTTGACCAAATTTTACTGCTATAATGGATATGGCTATAAAGGCCGTAGTTATCTAGGATCTAACCATAAATATTCTATTTTAAGATTTGGCTATCTTTTAGATACTTGATAAAAAAAGGGGGCACTAAGATAAGTATGTGTGTAACCAAGAAGGGCCAGAAGATAACCAAGGTCAGAAAAGAGAGGAGAAAGCAGAAGAAAGAACAAAATAACCGAGAGGAAGCAATAAATGAGCAAGAGGAGCTGGTCAGTGAGCAAGTGGACGCTAATAGCCCAAAGACAGTGAAACTAAAATCACCGGAAGGGAAATTACAGATGCCATCTAAGCTAGGAACTCAATTATGACAAGCATCGGAGAGACCTCTCATTGATTTCAGCATATTGCTAGCGATATCCTTATCGCTGTTTATTCGTAGGTATAACGGAATATATATTTTATCCCAGTCTTATTGATACGACAATTCACAGGGCAGAATTAAACTAATTACCTACGAGCGTTGTGAAAGACGGAGTCAAGTCAATTGCTTTAATTATACTACAAGTCTTGCAGGTCTCGCTTTGCTGGACTGATTTGAAGAGAAAATACACCTGGTTGTGCCAAGGACTTTGTATCTCTGAGGCAATCTACTTCTCAGGCGGGCTCCCCACCTATATTCCTCTCTATATATTATTATATCTCATATTTTAGTAGTCCTTTTCATCTACTCTCTAGCCGGGCTTACTAACTATATCCCTTGATGTAATCTCTTTTTGCCATAACTCTAGCTACATCCCTTTCCTAATATTTACAGAGGCACGTGACAGTATGCAAAAACGGAAATTAATGTTTTTATGGTGGAGGTGATTTTTAATTTAATTGCTTCTGGTTTAATTATTTCACAAACAATTACCAGAAAACAATATTGTTTTGAATAATAGCAGATAAATTACTCTTTTGCATAAATAAAATACGAAATATGAAGTAAAAATAAAGAAATCGAGAATGCTCACGCTACTTGGTTGACGTCTCCACTGCAGACTCCACCGGATCGTTGGTCTGCCGATCAGGCAAGACAGTTGTATCTTCGAGAGTATAGCATCAATTAGTCTCATAATCCAGATAATAAATTAATTCATTTCCCTCTAGTGATTTATTTATTGATTTCTGACTATCGTTCTTCTTTTCTCTTTCATTTTCTTTCCTCATTTCTGTTGCAATTGATTTAGTTGAGATGGTTGGCTGGCGATGTCGCCATTGCGGAGCAGCAGACAATTGGTGGACGCGCGATCTTAGGCCTGACGCTTGGCTAACCTGCGTCTAGTGGCTGTCTTAGTCCGTATACTGTGTATATAGATCGAAAGAATCTCTTATCTCGAATAAATCCATTATAACAGACAATCTTGCGCTTCCATGCCCAGGTCGGTCGGGGCCCCGGACTGGCTGACCGCCTCCAGCATGTGGGGCTCCAGGGTCACCGCAGCCAAGTCGGAGATGTCGCCGTCAAACGGCTACGTTCTTGCCATTGCAGCTGTCGAGATGCAGATGCGTCCTGTCAAGACGGGCTCATTTCGCATTCTGGCACATGCCTGACAGATGGCCATGGCAGATCTGACAAATGACACCCGCCAGGCTCCCCCGCTCGCCGACAATGTGCCTCAGCCCGACCAGGCCAGACGACGGCCTTCTACCAGCAGCGATTACCCGCAAGAGGTGACCGAGTTAGATGAGATTACCGCCCACTACAGTCCGTCCAGTGCGTCCTTGTCGTCGGGAGAGTACCGTGTCACTCCTCACCAGAGTGTTGCGTCAGCAAGCGAGCGGAGCAGCGTCCGTCGTGATAAGCAGTCTTTTCAGTCTATCCGGCGATTCTGGTCCAGGAATGTTGCTCTGACCGTTCCGCGGAAGGGCAATCGCGACTACTTTGGTGAGTGCAGAAGTTGTTTCTTTCCAGGCGGAATCAATTCTTCCTGCCTGCAATTCTAACGCAAGGATCAGCCCTAGAACGGACATTCCTCGCTTACATCCGAACGGCAGCCGCGCTCTCGATGCAAGGCGTGCTGATCGCACAGCTGTTCCGACTGCAGGGTCTACATTCAGCCCCGTTTGACTTTTACACGGTTGGGATCCCCCTGTCGGTCGCGTTCCACGGCTGTGCGATCCTCGTCACCACCATGGGCGCATTTCGGTTTTGGAGACAGCAGCACGCGATTGCACGGGGGAAGATATATGTTGGAGGATGGGAGATGAACTGTATAGGGTTTCTTGCGATGATGGTAGGTTTTGTCTCTTTTTTTTTTTCCTTGGCAGACAGAAGACTGACTAGGTTAGGTGACGGTAACGTTATTTGCTTTGGCGATCGCCATCGTCATCGAGCTTGACAGGAATCCTTAATCTCTTCGAGCAGATCTTCCTTCCTTCCAATACTGCTGGCAATGAGCAAGCACCGAACCCAGATTGATAGAGTGATCCTGAACAGGATCGTGATAGTGATGATGACAGTGGCGCCATGCCCGGCATCCATAGTACGAGTACGATGCAATATCAGCGGGCCGTTGCTCGAAATCTGCACGAGGCAGAGAAACTCGAGGTGATCCACGAGACCTCAGAGTTTGTGTTGCACTTCGCCTGGTTGGCCTCATATTCGGCCTGGAAGAGCCCGGAGACCAACAGTGCGCAGACGCGCCTGCTACAGTAAGCTACGCTTTGGTGCCGCCTTCGGGGACGTGAGGAGCAATGGCTTGGGTTCGTAAGCGCCCTGATCTGAGGGTCTTGGTAATGGTTTCAGTCTGCCGCGGAAGAGGTTGATGAATCCGCCATGGTGATTATTACTTCATGGTTGGGTGGAGAATGGATGCAAAGGTGGCGTATGCATCTTTCGACCAGCTAAGATAAATACAACTGAATTTATAGAGCAAACCGCTGTCTGCCTGTCATTTTGTCGGTCTTTCATGAACAAGCTCGGTAATTTGACCAAACAGGCAAAGCGACGGAGATAAGAACCGCACACGTGACCCCATCCACCGGGCAAAAGTTCGGCATCGGCGGAGAATTCCCTGAGACCGAGTTCGGCTTTACGGATGCGATTTATTCTTCCATCACAATATTCCAGTGCTTCGAGATCTGCTCGGTCCTATGCTTTTCACCTTCAGCGGCAGTTATGGCCGACCAACTGCCCAGCGTGACGCCACCGCGCAAGCGCCGCCGGCCAGCCAAGTCGTGCGAGCAATGCCGTCGCCGCAAGATCCGCTGTGACCAAGCCGTGCCCTGCGGCCCTTGCGTGCGTTCTCGAAGCTCGCTTACCTGCTCGTACAGGTCTTCCTTTGAAATTCCAGACCCGTCTCACGTGGTCTCGAATACTCCAGTCCCAGCTCCAGTTAGGACTCCTCAGTCGCACCCATCCCAAGTGGAAGCCGAAGTGCGGACAACGGACCGTGACTTGCGGAGCAGTCTGCAAGGTTATAGTCCCAGTTTGGTATCCCATTCCAACCATGAACGGACCATCCAGGACCTTCGGCAGCGTCTACAGCGTCTGGAGGAACGGCTATCAAGCAATGAGATAAACCATACTCCAGCCGATCCCGGCCTGGCCCAGGCCGTGCGAGACCTGAGCAACCGGGTCCTCCGAGCCGAACAGCAGCTCTCCGGGTCTCATGCCGTCCAGCCAGGGCCAGCGCAGACAACAACTGCTGACTCGTCGATCCCTTCATCGCTTCCACGCCTCCGGATCTCGCCAGACAAGACGAAACTATTTGGGCAAAGCCACTGGCTGCACACCGCTGAGAAAGTATGAAGGATGACGTTTCGAGCAAGGGCCAAACTGACGATTCGCAGTTTCAAATCATACCCAAATTCGACGCCAAGGATGTCGAGCCTGGATTCAGCGATGCCAAAGCAGAGTTGACCAGCATCCTGAAGGACTGTCGGAACTTGCGACACTTGGCCAAAGCCCAGCAGTCTGTCAAGCTGAACGATCCCGTCCCGGACCTGCTGGGCACCATCCCGGCCAGGGCCGTGTGCGATGAATTGGTCCATGCCTACCTGCGGACCTTTGAGCTCGTCTACCGGATCGTTCACATCCCGTCGTTCTGGAAAGACTACCACCAGTTCTGGGAACATCCCCAGTCCACCCCGACGCCCTTCCTCATGAGGCTGGTCTTGATGCTCGCCATCGGCACGGCGTTTTACCCTGATCGCGGCGACTTTGAGCGCATCCGTCGTCTGGCGCAGACTTGGATCTATGCGGCTCAATGGTGGCTCGTGGGGCCTTCGGAAAAGTCGACTCTCAATCTGGATGGGCTGCAGGTCTTTTGTCTGCTACTTCTGGCGCGCCAAACCAACTCCCGGGGGCAATCCACGTGGATCTCGGCGGGGTCTCTGGTGAGGATGGCCATGGCGATGGGCTTGCACCGGGACCCGGAACTCTTCCCGGCGTTGTCGGTGTTCCAGTCGGAGATGCGACGGCGACTCTGGGCCACCGTAGTCGAGCTGGCTGTCCAGTCTTCCCTGGACTCCGCGATGCCTCTGTTACTTTCTCCTCATGACTTCGACACCAAGGCGCCGTCCAATATCGATGACAAGGACATCGATGCGGACACCAAGACTCCGCCTGCTCCTAAGCCTAGCCATGAGTTCACGGAGTCATCTATTCAGATCCTGCTTCTGAAATCGCTGCCACTACGTCTTGAAGTGGCCCGGCGAGTCAACGATTTCCGTCAGGGGCAGTCCTACGAAACGGCCGTGAAGCTGGGCACCGAACTGAGGACTGCCTGCAGGGAGATTGCGGCCTTCTTTCACGCCAACATGTCTCGTCAACCCGGTCGAGACCTGGGCCCGACGGATTTCCACCGCAAGTTTCTGGACATGTACGTGCGGCGATACGTCCTGTTTCTGCACCGGCCGTTCATGCTCGATGCCCGGAAGGATCCCCGATTCTACCTGTCGCGGAAAGTGTGCGTGGAGTCCTCCATGGTCATCGCATCTTATGCCGACAGTCTCAAACTTCCGTCCGGCGAAGTGGATGACCTTGGGCGACTGACCATTTTCGGCCGAGGAACCTTCAAGGGCGCCCTTAGTCTGGACGTCATCACGGTGCTGGGACTAGAGATCATCACGCAGCTGGAAGAAGAAGCGGCGACGCGGCCGTCGGGTTGTGTGGCGGACGACCCGCTGGACGAAATGGCGAAAGCCAACCGGGCGCCTTTCGTCCAGCGCCTGGAGCACATCCTCGAGCAGCTGCTGCAGATCATCGAGCTGGGACAGCCGAGCCTGAAGCGGTACAACATGGTGGCCGCGATGCTGAGCCAGATCCAGGCGATGGAGTCGGGGCAGAACGTGACGCAGGCGGTATACGAGACGGTCAAGCAGAGCCTGAAGAAATGCTACTCGCTGCTGCAGGCGTCGCTTGCGGTGAGCACGCCGCAGAGTTCGGTCGAGATGCTGACGACCGGGCAGGCAGGGTTTGCAGAGTTTGATGTAAGTTTCTGTAGATATACACTAAAGGAAGCAGATTTGCTGAGACAGTTGATCATAGGACCCAAGCCTTGATTTTGGCATTTCGAGTCTGTTGTACTTTCCTGGTTTGGCAGAGGGCAGCATTACAGTATAGATTGTAGTTAATTCTAGCCGTGCAGTGCCGGTAGTAATACAAAAGGGAAGGTATAATAGTAGTTAGGGTTATGATAAGAATATACCGAGACGAAATCACCGAGTTCGGACCTCGGCGAATTCGTGCTTATCACGGACGAGTCATTATATTAATGACTCACCCACTACCTCGCTGTTGGAAAATATAGATATATAATCTACTACAAGAATAATAACCATCCAAAGACACGATAAAAGAAAGAAATATTCGAATCAATATCAATCAATGGACTCCCCAACCTTCCGCAACAGCCACCACCATTACCGCTCTCTACCCTCCCTACTACACTCGCGACGATATTCTTCTCCGAGACTTACACAGCCGTTCTTCTCCTCCTCTTCGTCCTCCTTTCGGGGTTTTCCGCCAGTCTTCGTCCGTGGGAGGCCGGGAAAGGGTATGGCGCTCGTTAAGGTCGCTCTCCTGGGTACTGGGGCGTACTTTGTTGTGAAGAAGATTGCGCTGTGAGTATGCTGTTGTCTGCCATCACCTTGTCGTTTTCTTTTTTTTCTGCAGCAGCAGCAGGAGCAATGAAGGATGTACTTGCTATGCTAATACTTACTTATCTTTTGCATTGTAGCAGTAGCAGAGATGACGGCAACAACCACCATTAATTACTTCCACCAGCAGCAGCAGCGGCGGCAGCAGGCCAACCCACCGGGCACGCCCTATCATTATCAGCATCAGAATCAACAACACTCTCACAGATTTGGTCTTCCTCCAAGTCCTACTCACAATGGAGCTGCTGTACCTGTACCAACGCAGTTGACGCAGCCGATGACGACGGCGGAAGGATCTAGATGATGGGGTGTCATGACATATGAAAGGAATGAATTGAATAGAGGGTTGGAAGTGAAGTGAAAAGGTCACTCTCTCGTTCTCTTCTTTTCTTACGTTATTTTTTTGTCTTTTCTTTTCTTTTCTTTTTCTTTTCCTTTTTGTTTTCTCTTTTTCTTTTTTTTTCTCTTTTTCTTTTTTAGGTGTCCCATTTGCAGTATATTAATTATTAACAGAGGAAGAGGGGATTATTGAATTTAATCCAAGTCAACTCGACTCGACAATGGGATTGATTGGGGTGATTTTTTTTTCCATGTGTGTTTTTTCTTTTCTTTTCTTTTGTTTTGTTTTGGTACAATGCAGTTTCGTCTCATCTCGACTCGTTTCGTCTCATCTTATTCTTGTCATGTATTTTTTTTAAGGGAGGGAACTTTAAAATATGAAGGTTTCTCTGTAGCATAAGAATTGTTTTTGATTATTCCTTGACAGCTAAATTACCCGATTTTATATACTCACCTGGTCCTGACAAAGGTCTTGTCAGAGCCGAATATTTAGGTGATAATATAATCATTTATCTTTAGCCGTATCCTCTAGACTGGCCAATTAAAAAAAAGGAAGGAAAGAAGAAAATGAAATTAATTATTATACGCTGTTTAATGGCTTTTGTAATGCACTCACCTGATCAGGGTTACATAGGTTTCCCGATTTGTTTCGAAGGATTGAGTCACTTAACTGCTATATTGAGTGTCTCCCATACCCACTCTTTGGGTCCTTTTTTTATGCTCAGCTTTGAAACTTTGAATATAGATCGATCTCTGCCAGTATGACTTTTTATATAACTGAACAGTGACAGTTTAATGTGCTATGCCATGTATGCTACTCTTAATTAATTCTTCAAGACATTAACCTGTGGCATTCTGCCTATTGACCTGATTTTCAGCACAGTTCAAATACCACCTGGTCAGCAAATTCAAACGGCTGTACATTGTGTACAAAAGTAAAGAAGGCAAACGAACTATTCAGTAACTTCGACCTCAACCCATCCGGATTGATCGATGAATTCCAGCTCCGCAGGATCCTCACCCAGCACCCAGCCCTCCTTCTCGACCTCCTCCTCACTAGGCTTCTCTGCATTACCAAGATTCATCCCCCTCTGCCATGCATGCAACTTCTTCTCTTTCAGATTGCCGTCCACGTCTCCCCAGCACCACCACATCGTCCCCACAAACCCGTCATGCATGCGTACCTTGAATGTCTCTCCCCGCAGGAGGTCTTCCTTTTTCAGGCTGGAGTACTTGAACAGGCGACTCAGTGGCATGTCATGCACCACGACGACTTCCTCGCCATGAGCAGGGATGGTCAGGAACTCCAGACCGCGATCCCGCAGATTCGGCGAGTCGCTATTCTCGTCCCTTGCGTCGTGCACCATGAAGTACCCCAGTGAGATCGTCCAGGAGGGATCCGACGTAGAGACTAGGCCAGCCCCAAAGGCTCCTCGAGCGGGAGTGTCGACGCCCTTTGCGTGCCCGAATACGGTATGAGAAACGCAGATGGTAATGGGCCGCTCTGGATGGACAGACTCGATGGCCCGGAGATGGATGATCAGATGGAAGGGCGAAGCTGCTGGAGAGAGAGAAAGCGTGGACGGAGAGGTGCTCAGCGTGACGGCGATGAGAGCTTTGCGGTCTGCGGGATCGCATCGCGACTTGAGAAGAACCATCTTCGTGTTGGTTGTGTTGAGCAACGGGCTGTGTGATAGAATAACAGGCGTATGTCATGACCACGCGACAAATCCATTTCAATGTCCTCCAATCGGCCTGTTTCTGGCAACCATCCAATGAGCCTCCTTGCTAGAAAACTTCAGTTGGAAACCTGTTAATAACATCTACGCTGGTCGTCTGGTCGCTGGTTAGCCGTCTTATTCTGCGTATGCAAATTACCGGCCCCGACTTTTCGGTCATAGCTGTACGGTACTGTACATTCTCCTGTTTTATTATTACTATTACATCAACTCGATTGAGCTGCTGTCCCGATTAGGCAATGCGATTGATGTGACGTGTCTGCGTGCAGTCTTTCTAGCAGACGAGTTGGAAGAAGTGTAATAAGCCGATGTCTTTGTGGGCAAGAAAAGATTCATTTCAGTCAAGCCAATCCAACGTTGTGTTGGACCAGCAGGACGTACTATTCAGTCTTCATCTATCTGCGTGTGAATACTACATACTGAATTTAATTGATAAAGGATCACTTTATTTCCTGCTGCAATGCCCAAGATTCTGGATCTGGTCGACTCGGTATTAGAATTGTCCGGGACATCGGAATGCACGGTGCGTATTCACGAGGACTTATACCCTTGGTGTTCATATGGAAACCAGAAGTCAGAAGACCCTCCGCCCTACGATGCGGACTCATGCCAAAGACCGTTGCTGCGGAGGCTTTCGTGCCCAGTATTAATACCACAACGACGACCAGAGACGCGAGAACGGGGCTTACCTTTCTCGATTTCCTGCGGAATCTGAATCAAGCTTGCAAGGTGAGTAGTTAGTGAAGTCTGTCTATCGAACCTCTCCTTCCCGGCCGGAAACTCAGAAGATACATACTCCTAGACATCTGCCTTCCTCATATGGTGAATGTCGGCAGTATATCTGTATCTATGAAAAGTTCATAATTAAGTCTCTCTCTCTCTCCCATATTTTATTAAGTCTTCACCTGATCAATCTGCAGCTTTCTTTTACGTCTGACAATATATATACCATGCAGGGAGGTAGTATCAGGACACACGGAAGAAGCCAACAAACAAGATTCGTTCAAAACACGAGAAGGAAGTTCTCAGTTTTCATATCTCATTCAAACCAGGGAACAATTTTTTATCCAAAAAAAAAAGAATGCACTCTGACGAAAACATTTTCTCTCTTCTTTTTGTATATAGAGAGAACTCCATACGGATAGGTTAGAACCCCTCCGAAATCGGCAAGCCTCGAATTTTCCATTCTAATGTACTGACTGCTGTACATACGATTCACTATTATGTATGTAGGTATTGATTGCGATACGATCGGGTCCCAGTTGGGCGTAGGTAGAAAATAGCTCAGAGTAGGTAGAAATTTAGAAAATTCTCTAACTACCCGGAGCTTTTTTCTACCTACTCCGAAGTGCAAGTCCTACGATCCACTGTCCCTAACTTAGTCCATAAATAAGCGGCGTTGGAGATACTCCGTAACTTGCGGGGAAAGCTTATCAGCGGGGCCGATCTCGGAGCAGTCGCCATCATGGACATGAGTTCTTGTAGTATAAACAACTGATGAGTATCCAGCAAGGGAGAGAGAAGGCATGAATTAAGAAGGAAGAAAGAAAGAAAGAAAGAAGAAAATGTCTACCAAGACAAAGGATCATTGGTCTTCGGAGGTATGTTCGTCTATACTTTTCCAAAGCTGTGTCCTTGCAGGTGAAATATATGCCAGCTTATCAATGTCATGCGCTATGCAGTATTTATAATCCGCATGCATGCATCGATTCAAGATGTACTGTACATTTCCTCATGACATGAGCTGGCTTGCTGGCTTATTACACACATCTATGGATACTATGTTCCTTCACAAATCCCCAGAATTGACAAAAAGAAGACAATCCGTCACTTCCCACTGACATCACGTCCAGGCATACGCCACCTCCGCCTCCTTCGTCCCCCAACTCACCCAGACCGTCCTCCGCTATCTCGACCCGCAACCCACCGACCGCGTGCTGGACATCGGCTGCGGCGATGGCAAGTTCACCGCGAATTTCCTGTCATCGGTGGCTTACGTCCTGGGGGTGGACGCGTCGCCGGCCATGATCGAGCATGCAGCCAGGACGTATGGTTCTGAGAAGGCTGAGTTCCGGGTCGTCGATTGTCGGTTTTTGGAGCGCGAGAGGGATATCCTTGATAAGGGGTGGGATAAGGTGTAAGTATACATACCTGGAACTCTTCTGGATTGCTTTTCCTCGTTTCTGTTTCTCCCCTCTTTGCCGTTTCTAACTCAGCTAGCGTCTCTAACGCCGCACTGCACTGGATCCTGCGCGACGAATCGACCAGGCTGTCGACCCTGCGCGCCATCTACGACTGCCTCAAGCCCGGCGGGACTTTCGTCTTCGAGGCCGGCGGCCACGGCAACGTCAGCGAGATGATGACCGCCATGCTCTGGGCGCTCGTGCACCACGGTCTGAGCATCGAGGAGGCGCGCGCCGCGACGCCGTGGTTTTTCCCCTCGGACGTCTGGATGAAGGACGCGCTTGAGGGTCTGGGGTTCCGCGTCGACAAGATCGAGCTCGAGTATCGGCCCACGCAGTTGACGACTGCGGCGGGCGGCGGTCTGCCTGGCTGGATCCGGTTGATGGGCGCGCAGATGCTGGATGCTTTGCCGGAAGAGAAGAGAGAATTGGTCGTAAAGGAGGTTTGTGATGTGCTGCAGACGGTGGTGACGAGGGATGAGGACGGTAGTCAATGGTTGGGGTATGTTCGGTTGAGAGGGATTGCGAGGAAGCCGTCGTAATATGTATGCTTCTGCCTTCACTTTTTAAGTGTTCCGTGTTTTTTTTTTGGATTGCTTTTCAATCGACATATCGTTGACTGAATTTCTATCGGACCACGGGTCTAACTATATTCCTGAATCCAATATATACTGTACATCGATGCAGTCGTAATATCGTATCGTCATAAGCAGTCAGTCGTGCATCATGCAGCGAACCTCAACCAGATCTTCGATACATCCATCCCAGCCGCACAAAATTAATTCCTAAATACCATCAGCTTATAAATATATGCAAAAAAAATAAATGCAAAAAACAACAGATTCAGTCAGATGCCCTGATAGCCGCGTAAAGATCAAACTGTAAATCGGGGACGCCGTCCCCATCTTTGGCGCGATATTTCTGTCGAATCAAAGCCGCCAGTCGAGCTTCCCATGTCTTGGCGATGCTCGCAAGATCTGGCTCTGCAAAGGCGTCGAACCCAGTTCCGGACCGGGTGTAGGAATCAACCAGTCGTGCTCGTCTGTACGACTCTGACAAGAGGCCCAATGGAGCAGGCCGCCGCAGCGCAAGCTCGTGGGTGTCGAACCCGTCTGGGATCTTCTCCAGTGGAAGCCGGCCAGTGTGGACGCGCTTGATCTTGAGCCTCGTGCCGGATGCTTGCTCCGTCTCCTGATGGCGCATGAAGTAAGCTCGAGGGTCGTTACGGTCCAGACTGGGGACAAGCTCGGATTCAGCTGGAGAATCGTCCGCCTCTGCCGTGCTTGTGTTTGCGCCGGCTGTCAATGCAGCCCGCGCGGCAAGATAACGGTTTTGATGCGGAGAATTCGAACTGAGTTGACTGTTACTCGGCGCACTTGAATCTCTGCCGCTTCGCATTTGTTCCCGCCGAGAGAGGATCGCTGCTCTCTTCCGCCGCTCAAAGTCAAGGGCGTCCTCCAAGTCAGACCCATTTTCCTGACTTGGAGGCTGATGAAGCCGAGATGACCAGCGTTCCAAGACAGGAAATTCCTGGCGTCTTTCATTGGGTTCAGCTGAATGAGGGTCTTCCAGTTGGCTGGAGTAGAGATCTGGCGATGTGGAATTTCGCGCTATAGGAATCTTGAATGGTTTATGCACGCCGCTTACGGGTCGGATATCACCACTCGAGTCAGGTGGATCAAGTGCTTCACGGAGCTCCTCGCTTCCTGACCTGTCCCGATTTTCTTCCCTTTGATCAGCGACAGTTGAACTGCTTGAACCTCGATCGAGAGAAACCTGTGTCGTCTTTTTAAACCAGGTATCAAGGGCCCCATTTCCATATCGTTCTCTCGCACGCTCCCTTGCTGACTTTGCTGACAGATCCAGACTTGGAACAGCAACTTCTCGAGAGATCTCTCTAGCTGATACGAACAATGGTGAGGTGCGTGTTTCCGGAGGCGAAGACGAGCTCGAGGTTGAATATGACGGACTGGCCAAAGGCGGACTCGCAGAGACTCGTCGATTCCTCTCCACACGACCTCCACCGGACTCTCGACGAACTGGAGCTACCAACTGGCTTGGCCTCTGCGTAGATGCGCTTTGAGACCGAGGAAAGAAATGCGTTTTTGCGATCGTCCAAGGGTTTATACTATTCCGTTCTGCTGACCTCTCGTCGCCTTCGACTTCGGATGAGTTTCCCACATCCCTCTGTTGCGAATCATAGCTTGGTTGTGGGGTTGGTGCAGGGGCACTGGTTGTTGAGATTGCTTCAGCGTTGATACCTGTCTGCCTTTCACTGGCCGTAGGATGTGAGGACGGTGGAGAGGCCGGAAATTCCATAACTGGCTTTCGAGCCATCAAGAGACTGAAGTCATCTTTTCCTGCTGTTTTCTCCGCAACTTCCTGGACCTTCTCATTCTCGTCATCCACTTCGCCGTACACGTCTTTGAACAAGCCCTCTGCGAGAGATACAATTATCTGAGGGTCCGCGAACAAGACATCATCCTTGGCAGGTTCGATATTGGCGTCGTAGCTCCCCCTGGGGCATTCAATATGTAGACAGAGAAACGGATCCGAGAGAGAAGCAGAGCTTCCTCGAGCCTTTGCAGCGGAACGAATGTACGTTTTGAAAAGCCTAGCAATCTCTTTCGGCGTGCCCCTCGATGACGATACAGGTCGACCGTCGACAGAGATGAACTGTCCGGGGTTACTGAGTTCGGAGAAATCTGCATGCCGTCAGATAAATCCGCCTGGAGAGGACAGGTATATAATTACCAGCATCGGCCTTTGGCAGGAAGGCCACCAGTCTGTACGACGTATTTGCATTGTCGTCGAAGCTGGATGCCATTTCTTGGCCTTCGTCACGCGCCTCAGATGGCCATTCCTTATAGATACACTGAGCAGCGACTTCAGCACCGACGACTTTCAGTGCTGCATCGGTGAGACTCGCATTGGGTTTAGGCGCGTAGATCCAGTTATTACTTTCAATCTTACTTTTCAGGACTTTTAAAGACAGCCTCGTGGAAGGCTTCGCAATCGCATACGATTGTAGCAATTTCTTGATTTTCGTGAGCGTCTTTGAAGCGTTCTTCAACGCCGTTTGTCTCCTGACTGGGATATGCTTGAGAAAATCTGCTACACGGACAGTAGTTCCAACTGGATGGGATGCTCGTTCATTGCTATACAGCACAAGGTTAGCTTATTCCCATTTTCTTCGGCATTCCAAAAATGAAATAATACCTGGTTAATTCACCCCTCCGGTCATACTTGAGCAGCGACCCAACAACTTGTGACTGGGTCCTGGTATATATAGTGACTGAACCGGCCATTTCAGCGGCGCATGCAAGGGCCTCTCCCCGAAAGCCGAGGGATTGCCCGCCCACATTTCTTAAATCATCCAGGGTCTGTATTTTGCTCGTGTGGGCGCGCTTGCACACCGCCGCATGGTCCTCTGGAGCAATGCCATGACCGTTGTCTTTGACCTGGATTACATCGACGGTGTTTTGGGAAATCTCCACTGAGACGGACGAAGCAGATGCATCCAGGGCATTGTCCAGGAGCTCCTTGACGACAGAGGAGGCATCGGACAGCACTGAAATTGAGCCAATTGCCTGCGCAGTGGATGGCGGGAGAGCAGCAATTGGCATGTCTAGTGCCGTTCACCTGGAATCAAGCATCACAGGATCAGACACCAAGCGGCTTTGCCATCAAGTTCCAGTGGGGCAGTGCAAACGACGAGGTGATGGCTAGCTGTAACAATGTTCTCCGAGAGCTTTCGGATGGTTGCGCGTTCCGTGTCAGAGAACGCGTAGTCAGCTGACCGCAGACTCATCATGCCTACCTAGGTAGGGTGAGTATTACCAGCGTTATCTTAAGTGGCGATCTAGTAGCTTGATTAGATGGAAATACATCTGGAGAAAATTTTTCAAACGTCGATTTGATCTTTGGGCTGTAGTTGCTGCACTGTCTCAATGTGTGCCTTGGGCTGAAACATTCTTCTGCCTGAGGCATGAATGACTTTAAGGCATCAAAATTAGTCACATCGCCGGATCTTCTTCGCACTGCATGGACTCCGAACTATGATTGCAGTGCCGACAGGAATGGCCGATAGCTGATGCAATGTCTGCTGATTCGTTCTCTATATCGCATCTTGCGATCCCAGCAGTTTGTATACTAATTTCCTTTCTTGCCTATACTTCTCAATACCTCTTCTTATACCTCGAGCCAGCCCCGCTCAGCAAGGATGAACTCTGGAAGTTCAATGGCCTGGTGGCCTGTATTTGGATCTGCTACTATCGAGCCTGTACTGTAGACCCGGGGCATATTCCAAAAGACTGGAAACCGTCGCATGTCCAGGGCGACGAGGGCGCCTCTGCTCAGGAGAAAGCAGACGCCTCGGTTCGGCAGCGATGGTGTCGGAAATGCGAGGCCTACAAGCCGCCAAGGGCTCACCATTGCAAAACATGCCAGAGGTGAGCGTTTTTTTTGTTCTATTCATATACTTGAAATGCTCGTCTCTGACTCGAGTCTAGATGCATTCCCAAGATGGACCACCATTGTCCATGGACGAGGAATTGCGTCTCGCATTTCACATTTCCTCACTTCGTCCGCTTTCTGTTCTATGCCGTCGTCTCGATGATGTACCTTGAGTCCTTCCTATTCACCAGAGCTGCTGTCATCTGGGAAAATAGGAACTTGCCCAGTGTAATGACCCATTGCTGGCCATCTTCGTAAACAGAACGATACTAACCAGATCCTGACAGTACCTTGGTCCAAGTATCGCACAGCTTACCCACCTGTTTCTTCTCATCGTGGTCAATAGCGTAACGCTCTTTGCCCTTTTCATTCTTTTGGTGCGCACATTGTGGTCATTGGGCACTAATGTCACCACGATTGAGTCGTGGGAAATTGAACGACACAAGACTCTCCTGAGACGAGCCCGCCATTTTGGCGGCTATCTCGAAGGTCCGGATGGCATCAAAATGAGAATTCAAAAGCAAGAATTTCCCTATGACATTGGCATCTGGAACAACATCAAGGCCGGGATGGGCAGCTCCAACGTGAGTGCATTGCAGCTTTCTTCTTGTTCACTTTGTCCTGTCACTGTCTGACAGTGATGCATACAGATCTTGAGCTGGTTCTGGCCATTTGCAGCGACTCCTGGGAGAGATACCGGGTTGTCATTCGAGGTAAATGGCTTCGAAGGTTTGTCACCACCGTGCTCTCAGAAACCTGTGTTGCTGACCCCGTCAGATCCTGGCCTATCCTGGCCCCCTCCAGATCCAGATCGTATCCCTCGAAAGCCCAGATATATGGACATGGGGGATCCATTTCCAGTGCGACACTTCGACTCTGCACAAGAAGAGATCGAGGCCTTCAATCAGCGACAGAGGGAAGATATGGAACGGAGAAGTGGCGGCTTTGGTTTGCAGCGACGAAGAAAGTTTCACGAAAGATATGCCGAGCAGGACGCAGAGGGCGAAAACTCATTCCAGGATGATGATACCTCCAACGAAGGTGAAGAAGCCTGGAGAAATGCGGAGGGTGACCGTCTGCAGGACTTTGGGGTGGATGAAGAGGTTGAGTTTTATGACGAGGACGACATCCCTTTGGCGGAGTTGATGAGACGGAGAAGGGAGCAGCAAGCTCAAGAGAGCTATTGAGCGTCGCAAAGTATGGATATAGTAGTTTTGTTTCCTTATTACTCCACACTTTCCTACATTCTTCCCATTTGATCTTGCGAACATCTCTTGTAAGAGTCCAAGTTGATTTGAGATGAACTGCCCGTGTTTATATACTCTACAGCCCCATACCATGTGCTTTGTCTACTGTACATTTTTCTCTGCTTCTCATCAAGGATGCTGATTTTCTCGTTTCTCGACTCGAAAGTACCACCATCTCTACCTGCGTCATCATTTCCCACACATGACGTATTCTAGATTATTCAGCATATCACGATTTTACACTCGACACTCCATCATAAGTTTTTTTTAGAGAGCATATAGAAAAATATATATATATATATACCAACCCCCGAACGCTTTCCTCATGTCGTGCAGCGACGTGACTGACATCCCATCCCCGGCCGAACAGAAAGACCGTGCCTCGACCGGCCGCCCCTTACCGGCCAACGAAAGCTCCTACCAACCCCAGCTTTCAGAAACCTTCTCCGCTGCCACTGCGAGCGACCAGGAGATTCCGCGGCATTCTCTCAAGCCCGGGATCTACGTCCCCACCCTGGCCTTTTTCAACAAGGAGTCGGAAGCCCTGGACGTCGACACCATCGCCAAACATGCCGTGCGCATGGCCGAGGCCGGTGTCGCTGGGATCCTTACGCAGGGCACCAACGGCGAGGCGGCCCATCTGTCCCGGACGGAACGCAAGGTCGTCACCAAGACGACGCGCGATGCGCTGAACGACGCAGGATACACGGATCTCCCCATCGTCGTCGGGTGCGGCGCGCAGTCGACGCGCGAGAGCATCGAGATCTGCTACGAGGCGCAGTCCTCGGGCGGCGACTTCGCCATCATCCTTCCTCCGTCGTACTACAAGGAGCAGTACCGGCGCGAGGAGCTCCGACAGTTCTTCACCGACATCGCGGACGCGTCGCCCATCCCGATCCTGCTCTACAACTACCCGGCGGTGGCAGCGGGGATCGACCTGGACTCGGACATGATCGTCGACCTGGCGCAGCATCCCAACATCGTCGGGTGCAAGCTGACCTGCGGGAATACGGGGAAGCTCAACCGCATCGCGGCCGGCACGAGGGCGGCGACTCCACACGACCCTGCCTCGGGGTTTCTGTGTCTAGGCGGCAGCGCGGACTTCACGCTGCAGGCCCTGATCGGGGGGCGGGTCCGGAGCCATCTGCGGCCTGGCCAACGTCACGCCCAAGGCCTGCGTCCGACTGTACGACCTCTACCGGACCGGGGAGATGGAGGAGGCGAGGAGGCTGCAGGCGGCTGTCGCTCGGGGCGACTGGATCGTGATCCAGAGCGGCATCATGGGGACCAAGAGTCTGCTGCAGCATTTCCTTGGTTACGGCGGATTCGCGCGCAAGCCGCTGCCACGGCCGACGCTGCAGGAGACGGTGTCGAATAATGAGAATTTGCAGGAGTTGATGAACATTGAGATGCGATTATAATCTGCCTCGGTTGCTGAATTGTATTAGGATATCTAAAATGGATTATCAGTAATCGAGTTCATTAAAGTTCAATAAGGATGAGGATGATATTATACTGACTCGGGGCGTTACTAGTAGAAGAATGGCAGGTGGAGCAACGTCAGAACTGCCAGTCGGGCAATATCAATCAGTAGTGACGCTGGAGCAAAGTTGCAACTATTCTCGAATTGCAACTAACTAGTCTGGAGATTATATCGAATCGCGAGGCGTCGGCGTGGGATAGCGCAAGACCCCGCTGCGGGACATTCTTGTTATCGCGCAGGCTAGTAGTATTAGCTGGATGCACCATGGGCCCTGGCTATGGCGAGCTGCTAGATGGAGCTGATTTGTAATTGCAAGAATCAAATCTGGACAGTATATTAGTTGATCGAGATAATAAGCCTCCAGACTCATCGCTGTCCCTATACAAACCATTCGATACCGCTTATCAACTGCTTACCCCACCATTCCCTTGTCCATCCCAAACAATCCTCACTCCATTGAACCGTCATCAAGCTTGGCAGGCACATAACCATTTGACCAGATTCGAGCTCTGCTGAACCATGGGAGAGGCCGCACGCCCGCAGGAGCATCTGCTCATCCTGCTCCCCGCGTCGGTGCCAGATGCCGTCATCGACGACCTGCGGAGGAGCTTCCCCAACATTGAGATCACGCATCTGCAAATCGGCCTGGACGAGACGGTTGACGCCGTTCCAAGCGGTATGGCTGGCGAAATTGGAATTGGAACTGGATGCTGCCTGGACGAGCAACTGGCTGACGCGTTGCAATAATGCTTCCTGCAGAGCTGCTCGAAAGGACGACTATCCTGGCCACCTCGTTCCGACACGTGCCGACTCCGCAGCAAGTTCCCAAGTGCGTATTGCGTATCAACAACTGCAATGGAATTAGGAGAACTGCTGACTGATGTCATCCAGTCTTAAACTCCTGCACTCCTTCTCCGCTGGCATGGACCACCTCCTCAACGCGCCCCTCGTCACCGACACCAATATCCCCATCACCACGAGCTCCGGCATCCACGGCCCACCGATCGCCGAGTGGACGATTCTGAACTGGCTCGTGGCGTCGAAACACTACAACGAGCTCTACGAGGCGCAGAAGAAGCACGAGTGGAAAAAGCAGACCTCGTTTGCGACGAGCATCGAGGACCACGTGGGGAAGCGCGTGGGGATACTTGGGTATGGGAGCATTGGACGACAAAGTCTGCCATTCCCGTCCTGCACTGCTGAATCGCTGAGGATATGCTTGCTGACTTGTGGCTAGTCGGCCGCGTCGCTGTCGCGCTGGGCATGAAAGTCCTGGCCTATACGGCCTCGCCTCGCGACACACCCGAGTCGCGCCGTGACAAGGGCTACATTGTGCCCGGGACAGGCGACCCAGACGGGACATTGCCCATCTCGTGGCACCACGGCACAGACAAGGAGTCACTGAGGGCATTCCTTGCGCAGGATCTGGACCACGTGGTGGTCTCTTTGCCGCTGACGCCAGCGACGACGCACCTGCTGGGTGCAGAGGAATTCGCCGTGCTGTCGTCGCACTCGACGGGCACACGCAAGCCGTTCATCACCAACATCTCGCGCGGCAAGATCGTCGACCAGGACGCGCTCATCGCCGCGCTGAAGAACGGCCAGCTGAGCGGCGCCGCGCTGGACGTGACGGACCCGGAGCCCCTGCCGGCAGACCACCCGCTGTGGGACGCGCCCAACGTCCAGATCAGCCCGCACATCAGCGGCCTGGGGAAAGAGTACTTTGCGCGGTCGCTAGACGTGCTGAAGGTGAATCTGGTGCGGTTCGAGAGGGGGAGCCGTTGATCAACGAGTTCAAGCGGAAGAGGGGATACTAACCAGATATAGATTGTTGTGAGCATCGTTATATTCTTGTTATGGCTGATGCTGTCATATAGTAGATATATATTTTGGCCAGCCGTATAGAATTGCAAGGCTATCTATTGAATTCATTGAATGCGTACGTTGGTTTCTAGTTGAAAATTTCTTTACTGACTTGCTGAAAGAGATCTTCTGTTCACTGAAATAAGATACAGAGGATTTTCCTACTTATATCAAGTCATTAAGCATATACTATCAAGTGCGTGCAACAACCGAGTAGAGCAACGATCATGTGCAGAGTCATGTGCAGGGTCATATGTCAACGCAAGTTATAATTCGACCTCACGACTGCTTCCACTTCTGCCATTCCATTCCCAAACTACTCGACTGACTGACCGACCACGAACAGAGCTGACGACACGACTAATCCTGCACCCCCCGAATCAACGTCTTGATCCCCTCCCCCCGTCTCGTCGTCTCCCACGCCTCCGTCGCCTTCTCAAAGGGCAGAACCTTGGTGATCAGCGTCTTCAGCGGCGGGATCTTCCCTTCGCACGCCAACGCAATAGCCAGCTTGTAATCGCCCGGTCCGTACCGGAAGCAGCCTTTCACCGTCAGTTCGCGGTTCGCGACCGTCGTGATGGGGAACTCGACGATGTGTTTGCCTAGCCCTGTCTGGATGAATGTGCCCCCTGTGCGGAGGACATAGATGCCCGTCTGGATGCAGGGTTCGGCGCCTGTCGCGTCGATGACGATGTCCGCGCCTTGGAGGCCTTCCTCTGTAGGGGAAGGGGAAGCCGTGTCTGCGCCTAGGTCGTGCAACTCGACAATCCGCTGCGCGTTTTCCTCGGACGAGAGGCTCGCGTCGGGCTTGTATGTGCCCAGACTGCTGCTGCTGCTGCTGCCGCCCAGAAACTTCTCTGCGAACCGCAACTTCTCCTCGTTGATATCGACTGCGACGATCTTGCTAGCTCCGAATTCTCTCGCCACTGCCGCACAGAGCAGCCCGATTGTCCCCGCGCCAAAGACGACGACCTGGTCGCCGGGTGTCACACCGACCTGCCGCGCCGTATGGACAGCAACAGCCAACGGCTCGATCAGAACAGCCTCGTCGAGACCCAGTCCACCATCAGCAGGAATCTTATAGACGTAGTCAGCGGGCAGCTTGAAGAACTTGGTCAGCGTGCCATGGCCGACAGGCGGATCGCCCGCGAAGCGCATCTCGGGACAGAGGTTGTACCGGCCAGCCTTGCAGCGGGGGCAGCGACGACAGGGGTATCCCGGTTCGAGAGCGACGTGGTCGCCCGGCGAGAGGCCCGTGACGTTGGGGCCAACCTCGTGCACGATTCCAGAGGCTTCGTGGCCCATGACGAGGGGGCGGTCGGGCGAGACGTGTCGCTTCATGCCGCCGTGGAGCCAGAAGTGGACCTGTAGCAGCAAGCAGGGCAGTCAGCTATGTACATCAGAATGCGCAAGCTGGAGCTGGAGGTGTACATACATCACTCCACAAACACCCGTATACGCAACCCGAACGATGACATCGTCCGGCTCTTCGATTTGAGGAATTGGTCGTTCCTCGTATTTTGCCTGGCCTGGTCCGTAGAGGAAGAGGGAGGGGTTCTGCATGGAGGATATTGATGCTGCCGACATTTCTGTGGGCTGTCTCGTATTGTCTGTCTGTAGTTTGGATGAAATTAGCGACAGTACTAACTACATACGAGACGGACTCACGATGAACAAGCAGATAGTAGATAATAATAGAGATATATGCCTGCTTGCTCTCTTTCTTGCTTGCTTGTCTGCCTTCCTGTTATGTCACTAAAAGAAAATTGTTATTCAACAGGCCAAAAACAAAAACAAAAAAAAAGAAAGAAAAGAAAAGAAAAGAGAGAGGGAGGGAGGGAGGAGATGGAGAGAGAGCAAGCGGGGCTCAGTACCTAAAGCAAGTAATATACCTATTTAATAATATGGAGAGATATTACAACAACTGCAACTGCAACCAACGTAAGAAATAATAATTTCAACGACCTTGGTATTTATGTATGTATGTGAATGTATAGTATTGTTCCGTTAAGGTAGGTAAGTAGGTAAGTAACTAATTAATGAGAAAGGGAGGTATATCTCTGACTCCCTTCCACCAGCGGAGAGTATATATAATTATAAATCTAAATAAATATTATGTTATACGAGGGTTAAGAAGAGAAAGCTAACCAGTCGGGTAAATAAACAAACACTACTACTTATTAATATAATAACAAGTACGTAATAAAGGAAGATTTAAATCTGGACCGTCTACTCCTTAAGACTGGTTACGTCCCACCATCTATCATGTCTATTTAAGTTATCATTTCCCCGCATTTTAGCTGGGCCTGGAACCCGACATACATACATACATACATACATTACACCCGGAGTATTTGAGGGACTCGGAGAAACTCCGACCTCTATTTAGCTTATGGTTAGTTGGATGGATGGGTGGGTGCGTGGGGGCGGGGCTAGGCCATCAGATCAGAAGATCAGATCAGGAGATCAGACTGTATACGGAGTACAATCATCTATCTCCCTCCTAGGAGATAAGGTAAGACAAGATACTAGATAGAGGTCGAGTATAGTTTTCTTTATTTATTTCTATTTATATTTATTTATTTCTGATTCGATGGATAGGATCTACAAAGAAAGGTGTTTTTGTGTTGATTATTGATTGCCTGACAGACAAGATTAAACGCGGTTAAATAACATCACTCACCGACTCAGTAACTCCTACTGAATTAACACCCAATAATCATGCTAGTGGTAATAGTAGTAGTAATATCTGAAATTTCAATGCCACAGCCTATGTATGTCCTATGTCCTAGGTACAGTACAGTACGTGCAGTACATATGTTTGTTGTTTGTTCGCTGTGTAAAAACTTAAAACTTCGACAGAATCAAATGGAGTCAAAAAAGTCAATGAGACAAAAATTCCAAGATCATGCATGCAATATTTATTCTTTTTTTACCCCCAGTCCAATTAAAATAGAATAAAATAAAATCAATAAATAAAAAAAAAGCAGACAGACAGACAGACAACGCCAAACAGGAAAAAGAAAAGAAGAAAAAACTCTGCAGTTTGGACTCCGGATGCAGTCAATCATCATGTGGAGGATTCGAGGACTCGAGAAGAGAAATTAAAATAGTAAGGAAAAGGAAAGAAAAGAGGTTAAAAAATTAGAAACGCTCGCTCGCGCCCCAACGGGCAGTTAGTTGTTGCCCTGATGAGATGAGATAGTGGCATCACTGAAAAGCAAGAGGGAAAGAAAAAAAAAGACACCAGCCTCTGACATGCATGCGTGCTCTCTTCTCCAGGAAGGTTGGATGGAAAGAACAGACAGAGATTAAGTAAGAAAAAGTCAACAAAGCAGATGATCAGATGATATGGATATGGATGGATATGCCGCCACTGAACCAACCGCCGGGATGATGTCGATGACTTGTCTCTCAGTCCAAGGAATGATCGACTTCGACATCGACTTCGACATCGACTTCGACGTCGACTTCGATGACGAAATTCTATCTTGATGGTTCGTCGTCGAAAAAGAAATGAAATGAAAAGCAATGAAAAACAATGAAATATTGTCTTCTTCCCTCCAATGGAAAATGCAACAAGAAAATGTGAAAAGTGTTGTTAAATAGGTACAACGTCTGAACCGGCCTATGACATATGCTGCTCGAGGAAAGGAGATCAAAAGAAAGCGTATTACAGCCGCAGAGCATGACGGCGTCAAGGCGATTGCGAGGAGCCTTAGATAATGGCTTGCTGACGCGGCTTAAAGCGGTTATCGCGGTCTGCGCGACTCATGGTCGGCCTGGATTACGAGTCGAGAAGACGATGCAGACAATGACCGGAAGATGCACCGAGCCGACGACAGACGTTGGTCGACCGGCTTTATTAAAACAGGCCAAATCGCTTCTTGTTACCTTTCTCGTCTGAGCAAATCGTTAGCTCTGTTCGATCAGTCACAGCCAGCGCACCCACCTTTCGCTTTGCCTCGCTTATCCTTATCTTTCCCTCGAATTGCGCCTGCTGCCGCCAGGGTAGGATCGGCGCCCTCCGACGCCGCCTGGATCGCAGCTAGTCGATGTTTCGCTCTTTCGTCGCCTTGGTCGGCCGCCTTGACATACCACACATTGGCTTCTAGAGGATCGCGACGGCAGCCGATTCCCATCTCCGTAAAATGCCAACTGCATATTGCGCCTTGGCCAAGCCTGTTTACCTCAGTCAGAATAGTCCTTAAGAATGCGTAGATGGTGCCTACCTAATTCTGCAGCTTGTCGCGCCCACTCATATGCCTCATTCTCATCCTTCTCCAAGACCGGTTCTGCTCCTACCAGATACCACGCACACAAAGCCATCATGGCCTGCGGATGTCCCTTCTGCGCGGCTCCAGTGTAGAAATGAATGCTGAGAGCCGGATCGCGGGGACAGTTGAGCTTGCCATGTTCGTACGCATCTCCCAGCCGGTAGCTCGCTTCTACGTGGCCCAATTCCGCGGATTTCGTGAAAAGCTGCGCGGCATAAGACGGGTCGGGAAACACATCGTCCCCGAACCCCGTCTCATGCAGCAGTCCGAGCTCGTACGGCCCGGAGTTGTACTGGTAATCGGCCGACTCGGCGGCCCGTTTCAACCACTTCACGCCTTCGCGGTACCGTTTCCCCAGACCCATGTCACCGGACAGACAGGCACGGCCCAGACGAAGCATCGCTCCCGGATGCTTCTTGGACGCTGCTTGGCGGTAGAATTGCACCGCCTTGGAACCGTCGACCCTGCATCCCCAGCCGAACTCGTTACACAGACCTGCCCGATAAGCAGCCTCGGCATGTCCGTGTTTGGCGGCGGCAACGAAGAGAGGCAGTGCGCGGTCATAGTCTTCCTTCCCTTTGCTAAAGAGCCCTGACGCGTAACCATCCGCCAGATAGTACTGTGCATAGGGATAGCTCCGGTCGGCAAGGCGCTGGAGAATGGATCGAGCCTCAGAGAGCAGGCGTGCTCGCGTGACATCGGGATCTTTCTCCCCCGATGCCGTACTCGAGCCATCGTCCAAAGTCCTTCATCTCCTGGATCGCGTTGACCATGAAAACGGCGAACTCATACTGGACCGCAGGATCGTTGGTCTTTTTCACATTGGCCAAGTACATTTCGAACGTTTGCTTGTGGCTCAGCAGAGACACATTGTTCCCAAGTGACATACGCAGATGGGCATTGTTTAGGCCGGCAGGGGACGGCGACGGTTGTGGATATGAGGCGGTGAGGAGGTCGACAAAGGACGACGTCGGCCGGACATCTGGAGAGGCCGCAGAGTGGGAAGATGGGGCGCGTGTATGCCTACCGGGGGAGGGATGCGGCGAGCGTCCACGGCCGCCGAGATCAGATACGGAGGAATACGCCGAGTTGGGTCGAGGCATCCCACCATAACTCGCCCGGCCTGGCGCCAGATGTTGGCTTGAAGAGGCGAGGTGTTCCGCCGACGATGAACCGGAATACGTCCCCATCGGCCCGGAGGCCTTTCGACTGGTAGGCTCCTCGCGGAGATGGTGGTATTGCAGAGGTTGGTATTCCATGGGCGGTGACATGCTATCGAGACTGACATCGGACGCGTTGGACGGACGTTGGTTTTTACTGGATGTGTCCTGTCCAGCGATAGATTCCCCCTTCTGACCATCATCTCTGTCATTTGAACCTACTAACGACCAAGACTCAGTGCTGGCAGAGGCGTGTCTGTTCGCACGAGACTGAGGCGGAAGAGAATCCGTTCGGTGGGGGAATTGGACTGCGGCATCGTCAGATCCGTGGCCAATCGCCTGGGAGATTCCCATATTCGACAGTGCCTCGACGAGAGAGGGTGACCTGCTGTCAGCGTCCCCGGGTCCCTCAACCATGACGCTCGAGGCCTGGGGAATCTCCGCCGGGTTGTCGATCTTCACTGGAGACAGGGGTGACTTCTGCATATGCGCATTCCCATCGACCTGGATCGGAGCATTCGGAACGGGTTTTCTACGGATTGCTGGCTTCGAGGATCCGGGCGACCCTGGTTCTGCACCAGGCGGAGGTGGCGGAGGATCTGATGGCGCTGGAGGCGGAGGAGAGGATCGAAGGTAGACCGGAGGTGGAGGGGAGATGGGCGGGCGAAAGGCGTCTGTATCTGGACTGGCCATCTTGAGTGTATGAATCAGATTTTTCTTTGGGTCACTGGCCAGGTCACAGCCCAAGAGAAAGTCGTGATCGGTCGGGACGTGTTCTCTAGCGAAAACGGGTCTAGATCATAGAGAGGCAAGCTCTGTCACCAGACAGCGTGCTTGAACACTGAATCGAGTATCTGCAGCGAGACGAGTCTTCGACTGGACCCTCATGAATGCTGAGAAAGCAATAAAAGACGATGGCGGGGGGGGGGGAGGGAATGGTTACTGCGACAGGGAATGCTGCCGGGCGGTGACTACCTGCGTGTCGATGACATGATCAGTCGACTATCGTCCATGCAATGGCAGCAGAGTGTGAGCGGCAATCCAGGCGCTCTCCTCCAATTTCACACGAACCAGAAAAATCCCCGAATGGACTGCCTGCTGGGAAAAAAAAATACAGCAACAAGAATCTAGGCAGAAGTGGACTGCCTCACCTGCACCCGGTATCCAACCCGGTGAGAACCTCCTCCCCGTGGTCTGTCGAGGCTCTCTCTTTTTCTTTTCGACACTCGACCGTCCTCTGAGCCCGTTCTTCCGCTGAAGCGCTTCCAAGACGATGTCGAGACTCGAGAGCGGGCGGCGAGATGAGGTTGTCTTTTTGGGCCCGTGGAGCAAGAGACGAGCGCCGATGGCCGGTTCGGCCGGGGATCAGATTGACCAATGCGGGATAAGTCTAAGTTTAGCTCTTGCAGCCAGCCTGATGACTGCGGCTAGTCTGACGGTTCTGTCCCTAGACACGGGCGTGGTGCATGCAACTGGCCTGCAACAAAGGAATGCAGTAATGGCCGAGGGGTGGTGGTGGCTGGTTCAGTCCGTCAGCACCAACACACCAGAGGCTCTGGCGTCCCTGGGTACGTTCCTCAGGTACAAACGAGTCCTCCGCCCTCCATGCCCATGGAATGGATAATGAATAGGGAGTGAGGTCAGCCGTGATGCACTCGCCTGTGGCTCTCCTGGCTGCCAAGCACGCTGGGGCTCCACCGCGTGCCCGGGATGGATTGCCCGCCCACGTCCCCTCTTGCTGGCATCCGGCAACCTGTGGCACAGAAATAATGCCTTCACAATTGAATTACGAAAGCATGGTCGCTCATAACCTCCCAGACTCCTTCTCGAGCTTTTCTACGGGAATAATATGAATTGTCGCGGGCACCCTTGCCCTGCTCAGCGGAGGCACCGCCGACCCATCCGGCTGTGATGGATGTTACCCACCAGAGAGCTATTGATCGTTTATTTAGCTTTAGCAAAACCCTGCCAGGCTCCACGGCGAATCGCCTCACTGCGAGATCCAATACGGGAGAACACGAGCTTATGAGAAAAAAAAGGTAGCAATATCGAAGATCAAGGGTTCTGCTACTGCGGTGCTGTCCTAATTACTAATTACTAATAGGCAGTTGACTACATCTGAGCCTCTTCTTCATGCAGAGTTACTGCGTCGTATTTAGCTGCCTCGCGAGGAGCGGTGAAGAGGGGAGGGAGCAGGAAATAGAACAGCTTAGAGGACAGGAAGCAAGACAGCAAGCAGTAGAGATGATGAATCATGAATGGTCCTCCAGCACCGTCGCATTGGGGTCTGCATGCACACGGCTGGCATCATGTAGGAGTGGCTCGGAGGGGCTGAGACAGCAAGTGGGATCTGACTAGTTTTCCGGCCACGTCGAGGGCTTGGCTGTCCCAGACACTGCAGGTTGCCTCCAAAACCTATCCAAGGGACTTAGAGACACGCGGCGGAGTAATGAGCTGCAGATGTCTTACCATCAGCCCTAATTATAGCGACAGGCAAATTCCTGCCCATGTGAAAATGCCAAAAAGACTAAATCGCCATGGCTCAACTACTCCGGACAGACTTGGACAATGGGCATTGTTTTCGGAGACAATAACCCATCCGGTCGGATGCCGTGTACGGAGTAATATTTTACCTTGGTACCGACTCCGTCCATCCGTAGAGTAACTAATCAGATGAACATGCCGATGTTCACTTGTTCCCCACAGATGCCATCTGCTCCAGCGATCGGCTAGCCTTTAGGGGGCACTGTCCCTGCCATTGGCCATCGGGGATCGGTTCTGCTAAGAGTGCTAAGCTGCTACGGTGGGCTGGGCTTACACACGCGTCCTGTGTCCATAGATAATGCTGAGATGATGATATCAGTCAGCCCTATGGCGTGGGTGTCTTTGACCTTTTTTTTTTCTTTTTCGCCGGTCGGGTCCTACTAAGCCCGAGATTTCTGGGCACCGATGACGTCGGGAGGCCGAGTTAACCATTGTGCCCTTCCCGACTGAAATATTCTTGACCCCCGGCCGTCCGTATTGCGATCGACGAAACTATCCGCGGCTGATGATGTCAGTCAGAATCGAGTCCCATCGCGATTCATGATTGAAATGGAGAAGCACAATAGACATAAAGGGGCACGTAGCACACTATGGCATTGTGGAAATAGTCGCGTGCTGTCGTGATGTGGTGGGAAAATGACCAAATCCATGCATGATGCGAGGCTTGATTTCCGCAGGGGTAAAACACACAATATTTCTGAAAATGAGCATAGATTACGGGATGAGAACGTGATGGGAAATGATACGCACACAGTAAATGGACTGCTTGTAGCCTCATCATTGGAGACACTACTGACGGCCCTTGTACTGGATCATTGGATGTGGTAAATTGGTGCTGTTGAGGATGTCCCTAGTAGTTACCGAGTAGTTGGAGATCCCTGGTCCTAGGCTTGGAGTACAACTAGTTATCCAAATAGTGAACGCACTGATCGATTCGAAGGGAGAAACGGAGAGAGTACGGAGTAGTTTGTTAGAATTATTGATAGATGCGGCTCTGACAGGTCCAACTGGTAACTCCGTGGACGTGTGTCAGCGCGTATCTTGGTGCTGCATTCCTTGGCTTGCGGGTGGCAGCTTGGCGTCTTGGTTGACAGCAAACGCGAAGACGGGGAGCAAACAGGACAGAGGCAATCTTAAAATCAGCCAGTACCATCGACTCTAGCTGGAGTTGACGTGAGTTCTCATATGGAGTACCTGGTGGCTGATGCAGAAGATGCAAGTCAGGCCGTGGGAATCGCCGGGTCTGGCCCGGATCTGGTTGCATCACTGGCAGTCGCTCAAAATAGCAGGCGCGCCCATGGAACCAGCAGGCGCCCTGGCCAGCCCGGTCAGGTGACTGGCGGGCGCGGCCAATGGCAGGCGGCGGCCACGCAGCAGCGCTTCGCGGCGATTCCACGGCGGACGAGAAACAAACAAATCAAACTGCCCGGGCAGGAACCCCACTCTGCCCGATGGGCCAGTGAGAGCCGTCCACAGGGGTTCGCTCCCGGAACTCACTCGGGCTGGCCTCCCCCCGTTCGCGATGGGTTACTGGGGAGGCTCCGGGGCAGTGCCTGGCACAACACACCATGTGGGGAGGCAAACATCATAGTAATAGTAATCGCAGTAATAATGGATAGTGGTTTGGTGCCACAGGAGAGACTGCCAGCAATCCGTGGACACAGCGGTCCTCCGTCGCGTCTCTGACTCGCTGGCCCTACGACACCCTGAAAATCGCTATTGCCTCGAATCCCCCATGATGCGCATCTTCGCTACCCAGTATTGACTAGCTGAGCCCGCTCAGACGCGGCGTGAGCAAAAAGCGCCATTCCCCGTAGCGCTGCCTGTGTGTTGTTGACTTGTTGTCTGTCTCACTCTCTCGCTGTCACTCGCCCCTCCAGCAACGTGACCTGGCCTGGCCTGGCCCCGTCTTCCTCCAACTCCTGCGTTGCATCCTCCCAGGCAGACAGGCACCTTTCGAAGGTATCCATCCCTTCTGTCTAACTACTGCCGCTCGCTGAGGTGCCTGTGGCCCTTTATTTTCCGTCGCTCGCTTTCAATCCCCCTTCCCGTCACTTCGCCCGGAAGGGAGCTCGCCCTGATCGACCGGTCGGGCGAATCTCGCCCCTTCTCGCCATTCGATCTCTCCACCTGCCGTTCCATCTTTCGCTGGTTGAGACCTGGAAATAATCGCTGTCTGCCGCGTGGAATTTCCTGGCCTTTTCCTTCGATCGCTTGTCGAAAAAGTTTCTGGTGCTGTTGGTGGAGGGGGATACTGCCACGAATACGCATCTTTCCGGCTTGATTGCGAGCTTACAGATACATGACCGTGATCTGGAGTCATTATCGATACGGGGATCTATTTTTGGCTTTCCACGCCTTGAATGGTTCGACGGCACTGACAACGTGCTAAGGTATGTTGCCCGTGTCCCGTGGAATGCTGGCGACCGCGATTAACATTTTCGGCGGCTGCATCTAGAAGAACTCAATATGTCCCTCCCCCAACGTCCTGCCAACGCTCCATCCCGCCACGAAGAACCCCAACCTGGGTTTCGGGAGTCCTCGAGACGGCGTCGCCGTGATATCGAATCAGGCGGATATACAGACCTGCCTTCGTCGCCCTATTCTCCCCGAAGACACAGTCACCAGACCTCATCTTCCTCCGTTGGCGCGGCTGGCACGCGAGATGTTGAGCAAGGGGATCCAACATCCCCGGGTCGAAAGCGACATTTGGTCCGTCCGGAGAGAAATCGAATCGATCGAGATCACCCCAACTATCTATATCGACAACATGCCCAGAACATGCCGACCTATCCATCGACGACCGGGAACGATCCCGTTGTCGAGGGCCACGGCGAGCCCGAGACAGGCAGTACTGACAGCTCCGACTTGAAAGGCGACCGAAAGGCTGACCTCTATGGGAATCTGAATAAGCCCATGGAGCGGATCGAGCGCATGCCGAGCAATAAGCGCGAGAGGCGCAAGCTGTCTCGCAAATCTTCCAGGGCGCTCGATTCAGAGGAAAAGCGGCGCCAGAAGGCCATGGAACAGGTTCGTCCCCCCAGCTTGTGGTATACCTACTGCGCCATCGTCACCTTCTGGGCCCCCGACTTCATCCTCAAATGTTTCGGCATGCCCAACAAGGAGCAGCGTCGAGCCTGGCGCGAGAAAATGGGGCTCATCGGAATCATCTTGCTCATCTGTACTTTTGTCGGCTTCTTGACTTTCGGTTTCACCCAGACGGTTTGCGGCACGCCTCCGGTTCGTCTGAAGGTCAACCATGTCGACCGAGGGTACATGATCTTCCACGGTCAGGCCTACGATCTGTCCGAGTCCAAGCATCCGGCCGCGGTCGGCATCCCCGCCGGGTCCAACGTTCTCTACGACTTGCCACACAAGTTTGGTGGTCAGGATGGCAGCTTTCTCTTCCAGAATGTCAACGGCGCCTGCAAGGGCCTCATCACCCTCGCCCCCGGTTCGGACGTCCCCACCAACAGTAAGGGTGACCTCGCGTGGTATTTCCCCTGTCACGCGTTCAACCAAGATGGCTCGTCGGAGCCGAATTATACGATCCCATATTATCTAGGGTATGCGTGCCATCTCTCGGCCGATGCCCGCAACAGCTTCTACAGTCTGCGCTCCTCAGGCGACGTCTACTTCACGTGGGATGACTTGAAGAACAAGAGCCGCAACCTCATGGTGTATTCCGGAGACGTGCTCGATCTGGACCTCCTGCGGTGGTTCAACAAGTCGCAGGTGTCGTACCCAGCCCGCTTCGATGAACTGCGGCTGAACCCCGACGTTCGGGGCACCGACGTGACGTACGCCTTTCAGTCCTCGGCCGACAAGCAGATGGGCAAGTGTCTCCAGCAGATCATCAAAGTGGGCTCCATCGACACCGAGACGGTGGGCTGCATCGCTTCGAAAGTGGTCCTGTACGTGTCTCTGATCTTCATCCTGTCCATTGTCATCGCCAAGTTCGTCATGGCCGTCCTCTTCCAATGGTTCCTGTCGCGCAAATATGCCCCGTCCCGGACGACCATGTCCTCGAATCCCAAGACGCGCGCCCAGCAAATCGAAGACTGGTCGGACGACATCTATCGGCCCGGCCCTCGTCTGACCGAGCCGCCCGTGCCGGACCGGACGAGTAAACGCGCGAGCTTTTTGCCCACGACCTCTCGATTCTCCAGCCCCTACGCGGTGGGTGGCGGGAAGCTGCGACCGCAACCGACGACGATGGCCAGCCAGAGTTCCGGATCGCGTTTGCTCCCCACGGCCTCCACGTCCATCTATAAGCTCGGTCAGAACAGTAGTGGAGGCACCGTCAGTGCGGATGGCATGTCCCGTCACCATCCCGCCGACAGCCGAACGAGCTTGATGCTGTCGGGAACGGATCAACGTCAGTCGACTCTCGTCGGTTCCAACGAAGGTCCGGCGGGATTCATCCACGAAGCGGTTGTTCCCCAGCCTCCGCCAGACTGGCAGCCGTTTGGTTTCCCATTGGCCCATACTCTCTGTCTGGTGACCTGTTACTCCGAAGGTGAGGAAGGCATTCGGACGACTCTGGACTCGATCGCCATGACCGATTACCCCAACAGCCACAAGACCATCATCGTCATCTGCGATGGTCTGATCAAGGGCAAGGGGGAGGAAATGTCGACCCCGGACATTGTTCTCGGCATGATGCGTGATTTTTCCGTGCCTCCGGAGGAAGTGCAACCCTACTCGTACGTCGCGGTGGCCACTGGATCGAAGCGACACAATATGGCCAAGATCTATGCGGGATTCTACGACTACGGGGAGACGTCGATTGTGCCACCGGAGAAGCAACAACGCGTGCCCATGATGGTCGTCGTCAAATGCGGCACTCCGGAGGAGGCCACGCAGCCCAAGCCCGGCAACCGCGGCAAGCGTGACAGTCAGATTATCCTGATGTCGTTCCTGCAGAAGGTGATGTTCGATGAGCGGATGACGGAGCTGGAGTATGAGATGTTCAACGGGTTGTGGAACATCACGGGCATCCCGCCGGATTTCTACGAAATGCTTCTCATGGTGGATGCCGATACCAAAGTCTTCCCGGACAGTCTGACGCACATGGTGTCTGCCATGGTGAAGGATCCCGAAATCATGGGTCTCTGTGGAGAAACGAAGATTGCCAACAAGGCGGATAGCTGGGTTACCATGATCCAAGTTTTCGAGTATGTC